TGAACTGTTCTCCAGAGATCATTTATGTCTCTACCTATCTGTCATGCCAGGATCTTTCAGGTTTTCTCCAATTTGATTTTATCCATCTGTTGAAGCAGTGCAGTTCGGTGCTAGGGAATGCTGATTCCTTCCACATACTATGATAGCATGTGGTATATACAATGATGCTATCACAGCTATGTAGTTTATCACTGGCTGTGAATTTTGATCTGGCATTGGCATAATTCTTCTCAAATCCTATTATCCTGGTTTTGGCTGGGATACTACTGCATAGTAGCTGGTACAGTGCTGTGTTCTGAATTTAGGATGAAAATAATGTTGACAACACCCTGATGTTTTAGTTGTTCAGGAGTAACACTACATCAAAGATTTTTCAGCTTCTCATACTGCCCTGCCAGCAAGGAGGTTGGGGGTGCACAAGAAGTTGGGGGGGACACAGCTGGGACAGCTGACCCCAACTGACCACAGGGATATCCCATATCATATGGTGTCATGCTCAGCATTTAAACTGGGGGACTTGGCCAGGGGATGGCAGGCTGCTGATTGGGAACCGGCTTGGCACTGGAGAGCAGGTGGTGAGCAATTGCACTGTTCATCATTTTTGTATGTTGTTCATTATTATTATTAATATTATTATTATTTTCCCTTCCTTTTCTTTCCAATGAAACTGCATTTTTCTGGACTCATGAGCTTTACCTCTTTTCCAGTTCTCTTTCCCACCCCACTGCAGGGCAGTGAGCAAGTGGCTGTGTCCTGTTTAGCTTCCTGCTGGGTTAAATCTTCACCATCATTACAGAATACTACATAGACATCTTTTGGGATATTCAGGCAAATTGCTCTCTGAAGTGAAAAAGGCCAATAAAGACCCTCATGTCAATACTTCTATACTATTCAGATAATTCTTTGAAACGGAAATTGTTGCATCTTTATTCTCCAAGCAAGTATTATTTCATTAGCACTTAATAACATCTGAAGAGAGCCGCTGAAAATAATTTTATTTACAGATGATGAAAAGATTCCAGGAACCTGAGAGGTCTGCTCCTTTAAGCTTGTTTCACAGTTGTCTTTTCTTTGTCCCTCTTGACAATTATCTTGACTTTCTGTCAGGCTCTGTTATAGCTGCAACAGAACTGCTTGGTTGAGATCCCTCATCTTTGCAATTTTATTTTTTTTTTAACTTGGCCAGGCAGAAAGTTGTTTTGCAGCTAGATTTTCTAGTTGCCATCTTGTTTAACAGTATTGAGCAAATAAACTCAAGCCTTCCTAATCTCTCCTGGCCTTTCTTCAGCATCTCGTGCTTCAGGCTCAGTGCCATAGGCTTGTGGCAAACTTTCTGTTTGCTCATCTCAGAAAATGTTTCACTACATTGTCACTTGCTGGGCCTTCCACTTCATACATCTTTCAGAGTCATTTACTGTTACAGGGAATAAGTTTGTCATTGAAGAGACATCTGTCCTGGGCAAGCCCCAGCATTGGGATACTGCATTATTCATCCAGATAGAGTTATCATATTCCTGTGGTGACATTTGAAGCCTTGCAGGTCTATTTTCTACTTAGTTTGCAGTGGGTGGAGGCATGGGAATCTTACCAGAATGCTGTAGTGTTTTTCCTTGTTTCCCATGCTGTATTACAAGGTGCAGGTTGCACTTAGCACACAGCTGGTGTCATCCCTCAGTTACTCACTGACCATGTCGCTTCTATCCAAGAGGATGAAGCCCTTTTTTTCCATGCTGTGTATCATGGCTTGAGACAACAGTCTCCTGTTCTGATGCTCTCACCTTATGCAGGACTTTTAAGAACTATGCAGTGTCAAATACTGGTACTAAACTTATTTATTTATCAGTCAGTTGATCACGAGAAGCTACAAATATTGTTAAAAATACATTTGGGATTAATAAAAAGCTATCTGTTTAATGTATTTTCCAACATCATTGGTTGAGATAATGACTCACTGAACATTTGCGGAAGAAATATTTTTAAATTCAATTTTAGAAAAAGATAATTCTTGAACAAATGCACAATTTTATTACCTAAATTAGTATAATGAGTGTTAGTGAGAGAAAGGAGATTTAAATTAGCTATTTGGCTAGCATGATTTAAAATGTAAGGATTTCGAATATACCTAGCAGCCAAAAACTCCTGAATCTGTTAACAGAAATGAACCCAACAGGAATTATAAATCCCTTTAAAATGCGATTAGTCTTCGTATATGGGAGGAAGTGTTTGCTATCATTTGGTGTGTTTAAGTCTCTTCCCACTTTTTCCTTCCTTAGTGTTAAATAACTAATACAAAGCTATATCTAAAGATAACATATTTTATTGTGAGACATGGATTTGAAATAAAACCCAACCAAAAAACCCAAACCCAACTGAAAAACCTAGGCTAGAATTAAAAGGAACAGAAAATTTTGCTTCTGGGAGAAACATTTAATTAATTGTAAATCAGGACATCTACACAGAATATAATTTTCAGAGAAGCCCCATTAGTATTTTTCCCAAACTCCCTTTTTATATCACAAACTTAAGGTCCAGTATAACTTTTTCAGTTTTAAATGTAAAAGCATGCTGGGGAAAGACACGTCCCGATCATAGGTGTGGACACAGGTATGGTTGTTTTTCTTCTCAAGTTTATGTCCACAAAGATAAGGGCACAAACTAATAATAGTACCAGTATAGCTGAGGTTGTGTGTTATATTCCAGATAACCAGATTTGTTTATGGGAGGAAATGAAGGTCGTACTAAAAGCCAAATATGTCCTTAATATGTTAATTTTTAAGTCAGTGTCATCTGACGCTGCCACCAAATAGCTAGTGGAACCTGGAAAACTTTTGCTTGATTATAGCTAGTTTCCTTGAAGCGTAAGGTCCACAGACCTGGAGGTTTGTGGACAGCAGGAGGCCGTCCTGACTATGAGCAAGATATTATGTGGGAAAAAAAATTAGATTTCCTTTCAGTTTGTTTTGTAGTTTTCCATAACTCATTGTAAAGGAGAACGCAATTTAATAAAACAGTATGAATATTCAAATAGCATGAGTTATCTGATCAACATACAAATTTTTCATGGAGTTTCCTGAATTGAAGGCAGTATTTTGGGGGACAGAGCAAGCTAAATGCAGTTTCAGATTCTAAATTCTGTCTAAAGACATACTAGACCTGGTGCCGGGTATACTTGAAGAACAGTGTATTTAACTGAATTTGTTTCATCCTTTGAAAATAGAAATTTTACGTCAATATTCTGTATTTCCTCAGTGGTACAACTCAGCTCCTGTGTTGTCCCTTAAGTTTTTATAGAGCACATATCTAATAAATAGCCATCCTTTCTACTGGAACCAGAGCAGGACTATTAAGCAGTAATTATTTGTTGACTACAGACATGACAGTCTGTTCAATGAACAACCTTGAGGTGAACTGGACTGTCAGCTACCAACAGCCACCTTCAGACACAGTAACTCTATAGCCTTTTAAGATTCTGCTGTTGTGGATTTGTGGAATAGATTCACAGAGAAGACATTTCTAATTGTCAAGTTTAACCTTGAGTGAAAGACTAATTGTTTAACAAATAATAATAGATTTTATTGGCATTCACCCTTATTGCTTGGTAGACTTAGAGCAAACCAGTGGGTCTCTCACATAGCAGGCTGACTACTATGTGCAGAGTCTGAGAAAGCTGGGACTGTTCAGACAGTGAAAGAGAAGGGTTGGCGGGCTCTTAATCCATGTGCATAAATACTTGGTGGGAGAGAATGAAGAAGAGTTCATCAGAAGATGGCAGGGAACTCAGTGGTTCTCTAGGACAGGATGAGACTTAATGGGCACAAACTGAAATAGAGGAAATTCCACATGAACATAAGGAAACACGATTTCATTGTGAGGAGAGTCCTGCTCAGGGAGATCACGAAGTCTCCAGCCTTGGAAATACTCAAAACCCAAGTGGCCACGCTCCTGGGCAGAGGGTTGGACGGGATGACCTCCTGAGGTCCTGCCAACCGCAGTCACTATGACCGGGGAGAGACTAAGTAAGGAATGTTTTATCGCAAATAAGCAAACCTGCAAAATATTTATAAGAAGACACAATTTAAAGCAACTAACTGATCATATATGAAGCATTGTTCCCGAATAGGCCAAAAGGTTAGTCAAAAGGTGCATCAAAAATTTTTAACTGGCCACCGCAGGTCGGTTTAAGTCGCCTCAGGAACCGCAGCCTCCTCCCCGGCCCAAGGAAGTGTCTCCCGCAGCTGCTTCGCCTTCCCATTCCTCCTTCCACCGCGCCAGGCCGGGGCTCCCGTCCCTCCCCGCCTTCCCGGGGGGAGGCGGCGCATCTCGCATCCTGCTGAGGAGAGCGGGCGCGCGGAGCCGCGGCGAGGCCGGGAGGAGAAAGCGGCGCTCTCCCATCCTCTCGTCTCCTCAGCCAGCTCGTCCCTCCTCCCTCCCTCCCTCCCTCCCGGTACTGGCGGCGGCTCCTCCTCCCGCGTGTGACCCGCTGCCGCCTGTGAGCGGGGCGGGGGGACGGCGCCGCGCGGGCCCCACTGTGGCGGCGGCGGCGGCGGCGGCGGCGGCTGCTGCAGCTGCAGGAGGCGGAGGAGCGGGACCCGGGGCGCGCTGTCCCCCCGCAGCCTCATCGCTGGGCCCCGCCGGCGCTCCCCATGCCCGTGTGGTGCTGCCGCTGCTCCCTGGCCGGTCACTTCAGGTGAGGCAGCGGCAGGGAGCGGGCGGTGGGTCGGGGCGATCGCAGAGAAGCGGAACGGGCACGGGGCGGGCGGGGAGCGATGCCGCGGCCTCCGCAGGGCTGCTGCGCTGCCCGGCCCCGCACGGCCCCTCCGCCGCGGGAGGGGATGGCGGCGGCGGGGCCCGGGCGGGTGCACCGTGACCTTGGGCAGCGCCGGGCGCAGCCGGGCCGGGGGCTGCCCGCGCCTCCCGGGGCGCACGGTCGCCGCGGGCGTCGCAGCGCTGCACGGCCGGGGATGCCGGCCCTGATGGCACCGCGCCGCCCGGGCACCGGGAAAAAACCAGCCATCTGACGGCGTGAAATTAATTCGCTTCCCGAAGTGTCAGCTCGAGACCAAATTCAAATTCCGTTTATATAACGAGTTTTTCTGTTAACCGCCCATCACAGTCCGCTTCTTTCTTTTTTTTTTCCTTTTTTTTTTCTTTTTATTTTCTCTAAAAGTACGTAGGGGATTCTAGGATCCTTCAAAACTGCTACCTGAAAATGGCACCACTTATTTCAATAACCTGCAGCTAATTAGTAGGTATTATTAAATAATTATTATTACCTTTTTCAAATGGGAGAAAAACTGTTATATGTATGCTGTGATTTTCCTCTTAAAGGTTTTTTCACATTGAAAAAAAAAGGATTCACGTTTACACATGTTTAGAATCTAGGCAATTGACAGAATGTAATTCTCGAGGTTATTTGGTGTGACCAGCATAAGATAAACTGAGCACTAGCGTTGGAAGTGACTCATCTTGTGCCCAATTGCATCTCTGCAGGACTAGAGCTATAGATAATTGTACCCAATCCCCACCACTGCAAAGCTGTCTACCATGAGTTTATCAAGATTAAAATTTCTGGTGCTTGGTGGCTTTCAGGGTTGTTCAGAGGTTAGGAAGATAGTGGCCCCTAACTTAAGATCTTGCTGGGTTCTGATATGATGTTCTTGCAAAGGAAGAACATGCTCCTGACAACAGTCCTTTGTATGCACCATAACTGATAAACTACAAGTTGTATGAGGATGTTTCTATGCAAAATTACCAGTTTGGTAGTTTGTGATGCACTGAGCTACACAGAAGCAACATTTTTATTGTTAAAAGATTCTTTTGTAGCCTACAGTATTGTGCATATAACCATAAAAGAGGTTTTGATGTGTTTCTTTTGGTTTTATGTTCCGTCTGGCACAGCAAGTATGATAAAACCACACTAAAACGTGCATGCTTCCTTTAAGCCTGTCTTTCAGGTACTGTTGCCTGAGTTAACTCTAAACAAGGGATGGAAAGTAAAATATTCTACCTATGCCTATCTAAAAGTGGAAGTGAAAAAATCAGTATGATAATTAGATATCCTCTCTCTGCCATCTTCTCATCCTCATCTAACTCATGCTGTTTGTGTGTTAGGCGTCTTCAAGAGCTAATGTGCAGCTGTACTCAAACAGTAAGCACATACTTTGCAAACTTTTTTTGTTGTACTGCAGGGAATACAGATATCTACCAAGTACTTTCCAAAATAAATGCAACCTTAGAATAGCTCCCCGCTCTTTTTAACAAAGACATGGCCATCAGAGAGCTGTATTGCGCAGTGTACTAGTGCTGCTGTTACTGTCCGGCTCTGTCTCTAGTTTACTTCAGACTTCCCCGTTGAGGAAACAGAACCTACAGTGCCATGGGGGTCGAGGCAGTATGGAGTCTACGTGGCTTCTTGAAGGCCATGGGAATTAGATCATTGTCTTGTGATTTTGGTCCTGTGTAGAAAATAATTCCTGAAACATTAAAATAACTTTAAGATATGCAAATTCTTAGGAAATAGATGAGTACTTTTATTTGTTGTTAATAATTAAAATTGTTTGTAAAGAAAAAAATGTTTAGAACTGTTGGTTCGGGTATTTTTAATTTAAAATTTGTTGCCTTTATTTGGAAGACTTAACTGTTTTTAATTTGCCTCTGCCTTTCTACCTAAACTGATAGTGTGTTCTGCTTCAATGTCCTGGAAAGGATTCGGAAAAGACTCCTAAATAATTAAACAGAAAACAGTATAAAATGAGTCTTCGAAGTCTAGAAGCACGTTTAGATGGTGAAGAGTTATGAGGGAAACCCAAGTAGATGTTGCTCAGAGAAAGAACTGACAAATCTAGGAAAATGGCTAGGGATGAAAGCAGTCTGCTGTGCAGGAGCTGACCTGACTGGATGGCAATTCGTTTTGCAAAGGCTTTTCTTTTAACAGTGGTAGGATGGGTTGTGTCTAGGCCTTAAAGGGATCGCTTCACAAAGATCCATCTTCACACCACCACCAGCTTTAACCAGGATTACTTCTCCCCGAATGGAAATTTGTTGAGGCGAATGGAAATTTGTTGAGGCGAAGTCCTGTGTGCTGCTCAGCCAGCAGGAAGAGACACGAATACCTTAGCAGCTCCTTCTGGCTTTGGCTGGCCTTAATGTTGTTAATTGGCTAGGCAGTGTGTATCTCCTGCTTTGATAAGGATAATGAGGAATGAGTTCTACTCTGTGGGGGATCAAAATAATGCTTGTGGTTATACTTTGGCTTTGTATAAACTGCGATTAGAAATATGCATTTCTGCAGAGCCATCTGTGCCTTTTTGTTATCCTTCTGCAGACTTGGTAGCAGAAAGTGGACTTTTAAAAAATCTTCTGTTAGAAAAGCTGTGCTGAAGAGTAAAATTTTGTAGATTGGGTGAAACATATCTGTTTTGGTCTTGATTTTGCCAGTTTCATAGCTCTTGAAGTACAACATCAAAAGCAACTTTATTTTTGAAGCGACTGTTCTGACAACAATGCACTGTTTCATTTTAGTTTTCTCCCATCTGTTCTTTTTAATTAGAACGTACAGCAGCACTGAAACCGAAGGACAGCTTTTGAATTCCTTTGTCCAGTATTTTGGTGACAGCCTTGGGAGGAAGATTAAAAGAATGCCTTTAATTGAAGAAACTGTTCTGCCTGGAGACTCTCTGCTTACTCTGCCTGTAGTAATAATAGGTGAGTTTTTTTCACTTTTTTTAAAGATTCTCTGTCACTGCCATTGCCTTTATAGACCTGCTGCATGCAATAATTTGTCATTAAATAAGTAATACTGAGCATCCTTACAGTGAAGATGTTTGTTAGAGTAATACAGTTGTTGTGATTAACAACAATAGCATAAAATTATATTAAGGGACTTGTGGGAGTATATTTGAATTCAAATTGTGCTTTGACAAGATGAGCTGTGTTCTTTGGCAGCAGATATGGAAGTCTTAATGGAAGAACTGTACTGATTCTAGGGTTTGATTAATGTGATATATCTACTTCAGGATGCATGGAGGTTGTTGATGGTACACTGCTAGAAATTTTTGGGGTCATGGGACAGTGAAAAGCATAATGTGAAGTGTGTGCTGTGTGTTAGTCAGGTGCTACCCTCTCATTAATTGTCTTTTTCTCTGTTTTATCAATCACTAATGTCTAAGTATTTCCCCGTCTTTTCCAAAATGAGTCCGAGTCAACTCAGCCAGTTTAAAACAATGAATTGTAGTATTGATTAAACACTTAAAGGCTAGTACTTGTAAAATGTTGCTGAATAACAGGATAGCAGAGGGAGCAGGCTCCACAAGTACATAGCTTAATTCAGGGTGCCAGGGTGATGTGTATTGGACCAAGGTTTTTCAGCAACAGCTGGTCACTAGCTCCTTATCACCATGACTTCATGAGGGGATAAAGAAAAGATCTGGAGTAAAGAAGGTTTTCAGTAATCTAGTCCAAAGCTGTTGGGACTAGAGCAAGGACCTGCAAACAAGCAGAGATTGTGGGGATTGATATTTCAGCATAATCGTGTTCACAGTAAGTTTCCACAACTTTGAAAGACTGATGTTTGTACAATGCCTGTTCTCAAAGCTCTCTTCATGATAGCTTAAAATAGTGCTCATGTAATATACTTAAGTGGATGTGACAGACGTGAATCACTTGATAAGTTCTGCATCATAGTTGAAGAGCAGCGGTTTCCTGGCATTTTGTCAACCTTAGTATAGGTTTGCCATATGGTTAATGACTCAGTTTTCACTGTTTAGGTTTGCAAATCTGCTTTATGCAAATACCTGTGCTTAACATTTGTTTTGTCTAGAGTGCCTTGCAAGGTGCTGACACCAAACACAGCTGCCTTGACTATTTCTTCTTGAAAAACAAATATATTGCCCCAATGCTTTTTCACAGATATATTTGAACCACTTTGCAAGCTGATCTTCTCCATTGGCAGCCTATTATCACTAATTCATTGTCTCACCAAAGAGCTTTCACAGGGATGTAAAAATGATTTGATAATGTAGTAGAAGAGAATGAAAATAGAGTTGTCATGCCCCCCATATGCAGACACACTGTGTAGTGGTTTAATAACTTCTGTGCAGTACCTGTCACTCAGGAAGAAATGGTCCATTCCTTTTGAATGAGTTGGGATTGAAGAATTTCATGCTGGAGCTCTAAGTTTGGAGCATGTTCTATAAACACTTTCATCTTCTGCAGTTTTGGTCATTACTGTGTAAACACAGTGTTGTCACTTTTCATCCAAATAACAAACTGTTACGATACTAAAGTTGATTATTAGCTTTAAATTTAGACACATAATGTAAAGATGATTGCGCTATAGTTTGCTGTTGATCAGGAGAAGCTTCGTAAATGAACAGGGCCATGGAGTTTTGGAGTGTATTGACTGTGTATCTGAAGTTTGTATAATAGTAATACTGCTCAGCTGCAATCAGAGCTGTTATTGGAAGCACTGTGTGTAAATTAAGAACTAACTCCTTGGTTGTGAATTTCTCATTTCAAAAAGATTTTTTTTGTTTTCCCAAAGGATTTTCTGAGAAAACCATAGCAAGTCTAATTGCAGACCTTGCAGCTGAACCTTTTATTTTTTGTGTTCTTGACAGCATATCCTCAAGGAAATTTCTCTATCTTGGACTCAGTCTGCTCAAAGAATAGGAACTAGGTTTGGATCAGCTCTCTGGATGGTCCCACGGAAGTTGCTAGGGAGCTCAGTGACAGTAATTCACCTTAACATAATCCCACCCTCAATAATTTCCTTGTCTTTTGTCAGCCTTTGTTTTTGCAACCTTTTTTATCTGTTTGGTTCTTTTTAGTCTTCTCCTGTAGGAATAATCTTTAGCATTACATGCTTGGATATGGAACACAGTTTTCAATTGTTGACTAGCTTTGTTTATGCCCCAGTAGGAAAAAAAAAGCTAGCTATGCGCTTGTAAAAAGATAGAAAATTCTTTACTATGCACAAGTTTATAATTCTAAAAACAGTTAAGAATTTACTCAGTTGTGGGAATGCTTCTGGACTATTTGTGTGATTACAGTGTGTTCATAATTTCATATGATTTTGTTATGGATGGTTTCACTGTATTGCTGAGGTTCTCTCACTTCCATCTCGTGTGGCAAGTGGGTGACAAGAGGGGCTTGCATCAGCTGTAAGCTTTAAATTCCTGAACTGAAGCATATCCAGCAGATCTTTTTGTGGGAGGGCAGAACAGTGTGAGCATAAGCAAGACCTTTTTCACTGTGTTTAGATTCTTTATTGGCTTTTGTGTAAATAGCAAAATAAAAATTGAAGTGGTTTGGAAAATAATATAGGCAGGATCACCAATATTTAAACCTTCTATTACAGACTTTTGATTTAATTATCTTATAGTATCCAATGATGGAAATCGACAGCTTTCCTAGACAGTCTTTTTCCAGTGCTTTATGGCCTTTGCAGTAAACAGGCACTCCAGTGCTTTTATTTTTGGCTTCATGTTTGGATACAAAAACTAAATTGTTTGATAGGAGCCACTGTGCACTCTGACATGCTCACTTGGGTTCTAGGCCTTTGCAGAAAACATGCTTATGGAAGATTTCTTGTAACTTAACAGTCTTAGCCTCTGAAGAACTCATCTGTAGTGAGCCTGCTTGATTTTCCCTAGGCCATGGCTGTGACCAGTCTGTGTGCACTGCACTGTAATAAACTACGGGATATTCTGCCACTGAGACCAGATGAGTGTAGGCTGGTGGAGGAGGAAAAAGAGATCCAAGGTATGAAGAGAATGAACAGGGTCTCAGCAAACTGATGGGGGATTTAGGAACTGAGGAATCATAAAAGGCAGAAGACACAGGCATTAAAGAAGTGAGGTTTTTAGCAGGTGATGAAAATAGTGTGTGCAAAGGTGTTGGGGAACAGGAAATGACATGTGAACTCTTGACATCAAGAGCTGAAGTGGTTGGAAGTAAGAGCTAATGTCCGACAAGGAGTACAAAAAGCATGAATAAATTAGTCACTTAAGCCCAGAATTTGCATAGTGTGTGCTAAATACCTTGAGTGCCACTCTAGAAGGCAAACAAAGACAAAACACTGATGAGTGCCTCATTAGGAGAACACTGTGCTTTTCATTCAGTTAATGAGGAAGAGGAACTGGAATTAACAATACGTATTCAAATATTAAAATTCTCTATCATAGCATGTACTTTCCTGATTTTTGTTTTGCATAGCTTTCGATATCTGACTTTGCAACATGAGTGTTCCTGCTGTATTTGCATGTGATAAATATGGTCCCCTACTTTGTCTAATACTAGACAAATAAATAGAGATGTTTACTTTATGGTAATGTTTTGGTCCTATCTGTTTTATGGCTTAGTAACATTTTAAAAATAAGTATCTATTAAAATTGCAGCAATGCACGGTACAGATTATAAAATGCTACAAAGAGGATAAAGATGTTTGACTTGATATTATTGCTGAATGATGAATGTGGTCTTACATGAGTTTCTTGTACTTTACCACTTATCGACTGTATCTGTCTTCACTTAGCTTTTATGTTGCTGTTTTGCCATGTCTGTAACTTCTCATCTGACTTCCAGTCTTCATCTTTCTGCTTGTCTCTTTCTTCCTTTCGTTTAATGGGCAGACCTGAAGAGCATATGCTCTGAATTGTCTTTCTGCTCTGTATTGTACAGTGCCTGTGGGAATACAGTTGTAAGATGGCAATAATATTTAGATATCACTGTGATTGACAGGCAGACCACTATCCATTGGGCCATTTTCACACAAGAATAATGCATTTGACGTACTAAATTATGGAACTCCTTTATATGCATTTTGTTTTGTGATGTAAACAGTCATACAAAGGTTCTTTGTTATCTGGAAAAGATTTTGCTCTGTTCACTTGGAGGACAGTCCTATGTAAGGCTTTGTTTTACTGCAGGGTTTATAAGATGCTTTAGCTCAGGACAGTGTGGCTTTATACTATTCAGTGTTATTTTGTTGCTGTATATTTTGTGACTTACAAACTGTATATTATTGAAATTTTTACTAAAGCAGTAACTTCTTTCTTTAATAGGAAATGGACCTTCAGGAATTTGTCTTTCTTATCTGCTCTCTGGATACAGGCCATATTTGTCTCCTGAAGCTATACACCCAAACCCCATTCTACATACGAAATTAGAAGAAGCTCGACATCTTTCTATTGTTGATCAAGTAAGCTTTGGTTGCCATCTTGTCTGGCTCTTTTCCTACTGCAAGCAGGGTTATGAAACAGTGGGCTTTCTTTAATGACCCTGTTTGAAATGCTTTTGCAACTTTATTAAGTAGTGCCATAGACAAGAAAAGGCTTAATATTCTCACTCCACAAAGTGTTAGACCACAGTAAAGCTCAGTAACTGTGTGGCCTCAAAAAACTTTTATCTCTTGGCCTCTTTTTTTCCTACTTGTAAAATAATGAGCAGTATATACCTTCCTCAGTGGCTTGTAACAAATTATATGTAGAGAACTGCAGATGAAAAGAATGGATTATCCAAAAACATTCTGCAGATTGCATCATGAAGAATCAGCCTACTTACCTAGTCACATTTGTAATGCATTAGTAAGGTATTTTGTTATTCTGCTAATTGAAATAGAATCAACTCATGACTATTAGATCCAAACCTGTGGCATGTGGGTGTTTCTTGTGGTGTTTTTTGGTTTTACAGTCTGCCCTTTGTTGTGTTCGTACTGCTTGACAGGAGTGTCTAACGTTACCACTTGGTCAGTGAGTAGCTGATGCAGGAATTCCACCTTTCACGTCCTGGGATTTTTGGGCACTGTCACCAAAGAACACGTGCTGCTAGCACACTTCAAATATACATAGTTCAAATTAAAATCTTCCCAAATACTCCAATTCTCATTAAGATTTCAGTTTTAGTAATATTAGGGACATATATCCTCTGTTAATACAATGTATTTTTCCTTTAGGAACAGTATGCGTCCTTCAGTGTTTGTCTTGTACTTACAGTTGCTCTTGTTCTGTATTTGTTACCCTTGTATACATTCAGTTTTTCTGCCTGTTTTGATAATAGTTAAATCTTCTCCAATGTTTTTCACTCCACTTGTCGTATTATCATTGTTTTCTACTCATTTCACTGTACTCCTGATGGATACTGACAATGCTGTCACTAACTGTATTGACTCCTTTGTGACTAATTTATTTGAAATACAAACATGGATTTGTGTTTGTAGGAGGTAAGTAGGGGTTTGTTTGGCTTTGGATTTTGGAGGGTGTTTTTGTTTCAGTGCTGTGCTGTTTGCATGTAACGTTTACATTAAGTCTCAAGGTCTTTTTTTTTTTGGCAGGAGAGTAAGTTGCCTAAGCTTTTGGCTACAGATGTTTCATGTACTTCATCTTCCCCTGACCCCCTGATATTTTGCCTAATTAGGAAGCTAAACTGTCCCATCTTTGTCAGCAAAAATTGGCCTTATGGCCAATTCTTTCTTCAAATCTCTATTCTCTCTTCAAGTATTTGCTATTGCATAATTAATTTTTTAGAACATGGCTTGTTAATAGATACTGAAATGTGAACATTTTATAAAGTTCTAGAAATTTTTCTCAACATTGCCTGCTTCCTAAAATAATCCTAGTTTTAATGTTTAAAAATAATACTTATAATACCTTGATTATTTCAAAATATAGCAAAGTTAGTGTTGGAACTAGCTAAGAGCTGTCAAAGGAGCCTTTTCTACTTGATATTTAAAACTTAATGTTTTTAGATTCCAATTTTGCTTTGTCAAAATGGGGCTCCTAAAAATTTTAGCAGTTCTTTGTTAAAAGCAATCTGGTGTATATATATATATGTTACTAAGTTGCTCTGATCTCTTTAATATTTGTCCATTACTTCTTGTTCTACAAAGAATTTCAAATACTGACTTGCCCCAGTATTACTGGTTTATTAATATGTAATTTTTAAATGAGTGAAATGTATTATTCAGAGTTACAGAAGAACTGAATAATAGCAGTTATTCCTGAAAAGTGTTTTGATTGAATCTCTACATTAAATACTTATCTCTACTTAAAATGCAACTTGGATTAATTGTGCTTTCTGTTTCAATTCAACTTCTGTATGCCAGAACAGCATGAAGAAGAGTAAAAGTTGCATGAACATGTCACATTTTTTTCATACTTCAGGATCTGGAGTACCTGTCTGAAGGCCTCGAAGGACGCTCCTCAAACCCGGTTGCAGTACTTTTTGATACGTTGCTTCATCCCGATGCTGACTTTGGGTATGACTACCCACCTGTTCTGCACTGGAAGCTGGAACAACATAATTATATTCCCCATATAGTGCTTGGTAAAGGACCACCTGGTGGGGCTTGGCATGTGAGTAAAAATTTCATATTGCTTCTGAGGTAACTTGATAACTTTGTGGTTTGGGATTTTTTTTACTATCTAATTTTTTTTTTTACTATCTTTTACTCTCTGCTTTAGATGGTAATGCCAGTTGTAGTTTCAACTGCTTGTTTACCAAAGCCCAAATATGTTGCAGAAATAAGAAAGGAAGGAAAAAACTGTCCTTTATTTGGGCATATGACTGCTGTCTTATATTATTATGGTTTTTTACTAGTTTAAATTTATTGAATTATAAAATTATAATAAAGAGTATTTTCTCTAACCTTTATTCTCTTGTCTGCATTGTTCCCAGATGATTTTATATAAAATCTTGATGTCTTTATATGCTTCTGGTTTCATGTTTTTCTTCCTCTTTTGTATTTTAAATAACTTGCTTTTAGTTTCCCTTTCACATGCCATCTCTTCACTTTCTTCTCTATTAGCTCATGTAGTTGCTCATTCAAACAGTATGTAACTGTAACACAGAAGTAGTTCATCAATGCTTCATGTAATGTCCTGGTCTTCTGTTGTGTTCTAGTATTTTATTGCTCTAAATGAGTATATGGTGAGAAGAACTTTTTTGTTTTTTACATAACTATATGCATTTGAAATGTATCTGGTCATGCATCTTCATTTTTTCACTACAGTCTATGGAAGGCTCTATGCTAACCATCAGTTTTGGAGACTGGATGGAATTGCCTGGCCTCAGCTTTAAGGAATGGGCAGCTAGCAAACGCAGGTAGGGATATTGCTTAATCTGTTTGGGAATCCTAATTGCTATAAAAATCCAGATAACATTATTTGAAGAACTGGAAAATATTCAAACTTCACTGTTCACAGGAGGGCTTCTTGTTTTGTTTGTTAAATTGCCTGATGGCACTGGAAATTCTTTTGGTGGTGTGTACTCTGATGGAAAAAGACTGGACAATGGTCAGGCAGAGTAATTGCTTGTGAGTGCACCAAAAGCATACATACTAGCAGCATTTCACAAAGAGGCACTGTTACTGAAAGCAGTTCTGATCAGAGTTGAGGGAAGATGGAGGAAGGAATTTCAAATCTACAGAAGTATTGCAAGTTCCTCTTTCAACACAGATGCAACAAGTTGCTATGGACGCTGGCTTTCTTGTAATTCAGGAAGTTGTACATTTCAGTATTTGCTTTTACAGGCAAAGCTGAACAACATCTGAAATGTTGTTATGTATGAATTTTAATTTTAAGAGCAAAATTCAGTATTTCACAATGTTATTTTCTGGTAGTAAGTTTCTTGAAAAAAATTAGAAGAAAATTTACTTCAGTTATACTATTAGTTCATAAAGGTCTGTGTCAGCAAATGAACCTAGGAACACTCTATGTAAGGTTTTTCTAAAATTTTAATTTTTCTGACTTTGTTCTATCAAAATAAAAGAAATTTTTCTAGTACCATGTATGGGAAAGGAAGTAGAATTACTTAGGCATATGTCTTTAAGGGCAGACTGTTACTCATTTCAGGACACCACTTACAGTGAAGAAACTGTACCTTTGTTCTTTAATTGTTTTCTTAGATAACCAAGTAATCTTGCCTCCTTACTAATTGAAATCCCATAAGCTGCTTATTATCAGAAGCTAATTTGTTTTATTTTATAGTTTTTGACAGTGCTAAAACCAGAAATGCTGACCTGTTATACTACAATTAAACAAACATATTTAAAAGAATTGATGTTAGTGAAAATTTCTGGTCATGTAGTTTCCTAAGTTTCTTTGTAGGAGGTGTCACACTGTCACGTTATCCTCTTCAATAAATACCTCATGAGGATTTTCACAGTAGTAACCTGAGCATTTAAAAGTACATATGCTATTATCCTGTTAGACTATGAGAATGAGTACTTATTCATAAGATTTTAAGTGTAATTCAGTGATAATCCTGATGTTCACTGTTGTTTATTTTGCCTTCTTCCTAGAGCTGACTTCTAAAGAAGCATCAAAATTCATGCACTTGTTCCAAATAATTATACCGTCAGCTTATTTTTTTATAAATGAGAATGCAATAAACGTGAGAAAAGCATAGATGTAATACTGGGGTTGCAGTGCAAAAATGTTTTTTATTGAACACTTCAACATCACAATCCTGTTTGTATTGTTGCAGTAACACTCTGAGCCATACTTGCTTTACGCATTCATGTGATATGGAACTACTTCATTTGATACTTAGTGAACTTAACAAAGCAGAGGGCTTTTGCGAACTAATGAAAAATACCTGGCTCCAGTAAGATATTGAACGCAGTTTCAAAATTAGCATTTAACTATGATATTTTACTAATTACATCCTAAGTAAGTGTATTCTCACTGAGTACAGGTTTAGCCAGTATTGTATTGTTAATAGTTGTGATGTTAAACTGTCTTTGTAAAACATTTCCATATGGAGCTACCATGATGCTGCAGAGCTTTGTTATACCTGATTTGTTAATCACCATAGCACTTTACATTGTATAAAGACTTATAACTGTATAAAAACCCACTACCTTATGTTGTGTAACAGGAATCAAGAGAACAAATAAATCGAATGCATTTAAAGATACTGAACTCAGTGTCAGTTACACTGAGCAGATTTAATCCTCGTAAATTTGACTTGTCTTGTGGCATGTCATATATGATATTCAGATTACCAATAAGGTCTGTATATTAACTGGAACCATTCAATTTTGTTTCAGAAATATAAAGAGTGATCGAGTAATGCCAGAGGAAATAGCTTGTTATTATAAACACTATGTTAAAGTCATGGGCCTCCAAAAGAATTTCAGAGACAATGTTTACATAACATCAGTGTCCAGACTTTACCGAGGAAAGGATGATGAAGGTAGAAGTCAACGAAATGAAGATATTTCAACACAGCATTTGGAAATGGAAGATGGACAGAAATCACTTATTAAGAGAAACTGGGAAGTCAGAGGTTATCAGCAAGCAACAGATGGTTCTCATGTGCCCTTCTGCCTCTTTGCTGAGAATGTGGCTCTTGCCACAGGAACCTTTGATTCTCCTGGCCGATTACAAGTTGAAGGAGAAGACTTTCCTTTTGTCCTCCATTCCATGTCTGACTTCGGAGCTGCAATCAGCAAAGGAAAGTTACGTGGGAAGGCAGACCCTGTGTTAATTGTGGGTGCTGGACTTACAGCAGCTGATGCAGTACTCTGTGCCTATAACAACAACATCCCAGTAATCCATGTGTTTCGTAGAAGAGTTACTGATACAAGCCTAATTTTCAAACAGTTACCTAAAAAACTTTACCCTGAATACCATAAGGTCTATCATATGATGTGTACTCAGTCCCATACTGTGGACTCTACTCAACATTCTGCTTACACTAGTTTCCCTGAACACAACGTACTTTCCTTCAAGCCTGAAATGAAATGTGTTCTTCAGAGTGCCTCTGGACTGAAGAAAATTTTGAAGTTTTCTGTAGCCTTAGTTCTGATAGGTTCTCACCCAAATCTTTTCTTTTTAAAGGACCAAGGACATAGCATAGGTCGTCACTCTAATCAGCCCATCACATGCAAGGGGAATCCTATAGAGATTGATCCATATACTTATGAATGCACTAAAGAAGCCAACCTCTTTGCTCTAGGTCCTCTGGTGGGAGACAACTTTGTACGGTTTTTAAAAGGAGGTGCACTGGGCATTGCACGATGCTTGGCAATAAGACAAAAGAAGAAACATGAATTGATTGAAAGTGGGGATGGAGGAGGTGATGGGGTACCATAAATGAGACATTAGAAATCACATCCAGGATTACAGATGTAGTCTAACAGAACAGTCACTGGCAGCGAAAGTTGATAGCAGTCACATTTCTGTCGTGTACAAGTAACCTGCGCTTGTATTGCTTGGTAAAGGATGCTGATACTACAATACTTCACCCTTTCAAAATAGAAAAACTTGATCTGCTATTTCAACTTATTTCAACTGGAATTACTTCCAGATAAACAGAAAATGAGACTAGACTAACTTATATTGACCTGCCTGTCATCTCCTGCTCAGCTACAAGAGCAGATTTCCTTGGGAAAAGCAATGCCTACCAGAGTGGCTTTATATTTTAGTGTCCAATGTGACAAAAGCACTCTTTACTATGAAATTAAAGTAACTTCTAAAAGCAGAAAGCTTGCTTAGTACAAGGTGATTCTTGGTCCCAAAGCAAATTTGGAGCCTTCTGCTCAAAACAAGGATTCTATTTATTTGCTACAGTAATACTTGGAATGAGCACTTAGTAAAATGGTTTCTATTGTAAGAACGCTTTCTGTAAGCAAGTATTCCTCAATAGTTTTAAGTTATCCTGATAATTGGAATAAAAGAATAAGCATTCCCATTTAATCTTTAACAATGATTTGACACAATCCATTAATGTTTCTTCACACTATGCCTAGAGTTGGTGAGTGCACAAAGACTACCATGACATGTTCCCCTACAGTGATATGTACATTTCTGAGAATACGCATTAACATAAACAATAATAAAGTACTGATGTAAGTGCTCTTATTACAGTGTCAATATAGTGAATATCTAGTGTACTATCAAGAGTTAAGTACATGAGAAAACTAAAGATTTTTTTGCTTCCTAGCTCAGGAAGACTGAAGGGGATCACTTGGCTGATGAAGGTGGGCTGGGTGATAGATATTCTCATCTCCTGTTTGACCAAGGATTGTTTTTTTCTTTTTTTTTATAAAGCAGCACATAATTGTGAAATATTTTATCCTGCAGTTTTTGAAACTTAAAAAAAGGTCATTATCTCACAGCCAGCTAAAAAATAAACCAAACTCAAAACAAACGTGCCATAGTTTCTTTAAATCTTAGAGCTTCTCATGAAAGACAAAGACAACTTGTACCTACCTCTGAATCCAAGTTTCACCCTTCTGCTCCATTATGTAAGACCTAGATTTCATTTGCTGGGTTTTAGAGTATTTAGTTTATCTAAACACACTCAACTATAGTGAGGTTAAGCAACAACTAGTTAGAAAAGTGAACTTCCAGAACTCTCAATAGACAAAAGTGCTTGGGTTCAACTGATTTATTACTAAATGTTTTAATTCAGGTCCAATGTGATGGAATAGATGGGTTTTTTTGTTTGAGACTTTTTTGTGTTAAAGAATGTCATGTTAGTTTAAGGTATTGTGTTTGCATGATTAAAAATCTTCATATTAGAGCCTGGACAGATTTAAGAAAGGAAATTAGGCTTAGGCTTTGTGAAACTGCTAGTGCTTGCTGGTTTCCCAGCTGTCTTAACTTTCATAATTTATATATACCTGTATTCAATTCATGCCTGCTTTCTGTGCCTGCTGAATTACAGAGTTCTGTGGCTACTGCAGGCCCTTACGCATCTGAGTAAGTTACTCAGGCTTTGGACGTAGAAATTGAAGGTGCAGTGTGTAAGGATTAAAATTACTTACTTTCAGTGAAGTCCAAAGCAATTTATGACATGACGCTACTAATAACAATTTTAGTTTAGAGCCACTTAATAGCATTAAAATAAACACAAACAAAGGAACATTTCCATCAATTTCTGCATTGCCCACATGGTTGGCTTTAATCATACATTGTCAATACTAGTTATGAAATTTTTTTTTACTGATATTTGAGCTGGTTTTAATTATGCTAAATTCTAGACTTATTCAATTACTCAATTCTAGGCTTATCTCAAGTCAATTGAGATTCTATAATTTGCCTTCTTTGGCAGAAACTGTATATATATAAACCTGAACCTGTGATATCTAGTAATTTTAACTGAGAATTGGTTACAAGTGCAAAGTACTTGATTATAGAACTTTATTGCAGTTATTGGGACTACACCTGCACTGTGATTAAATTCCTTCAGTTTTGTGTCAATGTAAATATCCAAATACAACATACTGTGACGTTACTGCTTTTTCATTTGTCATGAGACATGTAAAATGCCAGCAAAACAAAGGAAGAATTTACTTGAAGAATTATTTTGCAAAAAGGGGAAGAAAGCTTCAAACAGCTGGATTTCTAGCTGCAGCTGCGAACAAGCTGTGTATGTAGTAGTGGCAAATTTGTAGCAGAGATCTGTGACTTATTATTACAGATTATTGTCTTTCACTGCAGTCTTATGGCACCTTGAGGTTTAATTGCCTTTTTCTTTTTATCAATCTTAGGATTTTTGAGATAGAAAGTTGCATGTGAGACTGCTTAAGTGGGCAGAGAAATTTTCTCAGTGTTCGTGTTTATTAAGCCATTATAAAGATACTTTTTTCAACCAAAGCTTTACCAAAAGATCATCCTCTTTCTTCTAGGAATTGCTAGATTTAAAATTGTAGCTGGACTTTCTCACTTTTATGTTTCTTATTTTGAGAAAAATCTGTGTCTCTCTCCTCTTTGGTATTTTGAGGGACTAAGAGATGCAAAAATTCAAGCTTTGCCTTAAGATAGTTTTACCTAAAGCGCTGCATTTATTGTGAATTGGATGTTGGCGCTGAGGTGTTGTCTTTTGGGGAAACACCTTGTTTCTCCGATTTAAAAAAACCACCACAAACATTTGAACTTCTTCTGTGTTTTAATAGTTCCCAGAAGGGAGATTGCTTCTTTCAGCTCTTCTTTCAGTGAGAAAGATAAGCTTTTAAACGTCATGGATTTTAAAAGGATGCTTCCTACTTAAGCTTTATTAATAAAATACAGACAGGAAGAATATAATTTAATTTGAATTTAGAGAATTTGTGAAGCTGTCTTACATAACACATACTGTGTATTTGCTAATAGGTTAGTGGAAAAACATCTCTTACATTTGGATTTGGTTCTTAATGCTGTGACTGTGTTTGAAAATTAAATTATTGCTAAGATTATTTTAAGTAGTATCCAGCTGTTGAACTGGGACTAAGATTTGTCATAGTAGATTTCCTTAACAGTCTTCCTCCTTTCTGGTGCCTCTTTTGATTGAATTCTGCTTAAAACATTTTCCAGAAAGGTGTAAGGCTAAGTTTAACTCGGATGAGTAAACGCAGAAATCCTTTTTGCAAGTAATCCAGAGAGTGGTGACAATAACACCAGAATTTTTCTCTCTCTCAGGAAAATGCATTGCTTTGGACTAGCAGCCTGGGCTTGCCAGTGAATGCATGGAATGCATCCCACAGCCCTAGGTCCCTAGTCAGTCCCTAGTCCTCAGCACTTTTGTTGGAGGAGGTGGCTGTAACTTCTTTCTCTAGCAGCTCAAGAACTGTGAAAAGGTTAGAGCTAGAAATGCAGAGTACTTATGCAAAGCCTGGAGGATTAAGACCCAAACTTAAGAGATAGGCCCGAGCTGCATATCCAGTTGAAAGAAAAGGCCATTTTTAGGCCAGCTGCTCTTGAGAAAGAGCAGAAATTTGCAAACTGCTAGTGAGTATTTACTGATGACAAGAATGACGAGTGAGGAATGATGGGAGGAAAGCTGCAAAGAACCTGTGCAATATGAACTGCAGACATAGGGGTGCTGAGGTGTGTCCACGCAGCTTTGACAGGCTGGTGGTGTCCCATCCTCTTGGGTCAGGATCTGTGTACTGTGACTGCCGAGCTCTGCACTGCAGCTGGTCATCCAACATGTTGCCATATGTGTTTAACTGGCTATTAACTGAAGTGCACTGAAATGCAACAGACTAGAAGCAATTGTATTTGCTCACTGAGCTGTAGGACTGATCAGTAAGGTGGTGTGCCAAGAGATAGGGCTTTGTTGCTCTGCTACCATATTTTCTACCCTCTGAGAAAGCAAGCAGCTATCTTCATGTAATAACAGGATCTGGGCTGTACAGTGCTCCCAAACATTTCTGAACAGCAAGAGGTAAAACACATATGCCCTAAACTCAATTCACTATTGTCCATGTAGTAATGATTTAATTCTAAGTAAGTTACGGAACAAAAAAATGGAACAAAAAAAGGTTTATACTGTTATATTTTAATTTAGAGTATATTTTAGAGTCTTACAATAAGAATATTCTGTCATCATTTTCCATTCCTATTTTAAGGTGAGAGCAAGTTGGGAGCACTCAACTGATGTGACAGCTTTTTGTACTTCCACCATTTCCCCTTGCCCAACCTGAAAGAAAAGTCATGCTTTGTTTGAAATAACCATAATAATTGATTCTGTTTAGCAGAAACAATGGAAATTAAAACATCCTTGACAGAGAAGGGAAGGCTTTGGTGGCATTAGGGGTAAAAATTTGAAGTGAGAATGTTGAATTATAAACAGCTCTTTTTCTGCAAAAGAGTGTATTTTGGGGAGTATGTTACACTTAGGTGTTTCACTTAATTTCTGAAGCCTGAATTACACAAGGAATTGTGCAGTCAAGGATGAATTTGGTGTAAGGAACAACGATTATGGGGGGAAAATAATTTATAGTATAATTTAGTAGTCACAGTGAAGCTAAGCACTGTTGTAGAGATAGCTTTGTCTTTGTAGACACTAGAACATTTAATCTCAAGCAAACCTTGAACTTGAGTTCACATTATACCTGTCTGCATATTAGCTCATTTTATAACTAATAATTTTGTATTTTCAGGGCATATTAAGCCAACTCTTAAAACTTAGTGGTCCTCAGTAGTCATCAAAACCAGGAAATTACTTGTTCTGGAGACTAAATTCTAATTTGCACTTTCCTCCCCCATCTCTTTATTCTGAGATCACTGGCATTGTGTAAGTACCAGCCTACACTGCCTACAGTGGATGCTTCAATAAACTAAAATTCATGTTCAATAAACTAAGCTTCATGTTTCTGGACACCCTCTCTAGACTTACATGCCAGCATAAAGAAAAGTAACAGCTAGGTTTGGTATATATTCACAGAATATTACAGCATCCTGGCATTTTTAGGTTCTTTTTTAACTAGGTATATAAAGAAAAAAATAGTTGTCTACAAAGACAAAGCTAGAGACAAGATGAAAGAAGTCTGATACAGTTCCAAGGGATACTCAGAGGATAGGGAAATGGTTCATTTTTCACCAGTTTGGATGCTAGACCAGCTTCTATGTGAACATCAAGTTATTGCTGTTCATGAACTAATCCTGCTACCTTACATCTCCCTGGCACAATTTACAAAGTTAATACCCTGATTTTGCCTGTTTCTCTGTTAGTCCTGGTATGCTGGTTGTGGAATTCCAGTTCTAAATTAGATAAAGGCTTATATTCATTTACCTATATGTATGTTCACATACAATGCATCTGGGCTTGGAAATACTATGTAAAAGTCATTTCTGTGTGTGTCAGTGCTTCAGTTTTCTGCTTTTGCTGGAGTATGCTTGGGTTATACTATTTTATTTTTTCCTAAGATGAGCAATGTAAATGTGTACAGAACTTTTGCTGTCAGCAGCAAGCAACTTGTGAGCAAAATCTCAGCTTTGATTAGACAACAAACACTCCTGAGGTTTGCATGCCAAGCTTGTTTTATCTTCATGTGTGAAAACTGATGGTGGACTGAACACGCAAAATATTAAAACAGTTTCACCTAGAATTCAATTATTTTGGTTTTGAGAAGTGGGGAACTGGTAAGTCAAAGGAAAGAACAAACTGGGGAGGAAGAGGCATTCATTGCTGTAGCCAATGACAGAGATTCCAGCAGTCAAGGTTGTAGCAGAGTGGTATGGGCAGAGTGCTAAAGGAAGTGGCAGGGAAAGTTGCTAGTTAAGGAGATCTGATATTGTGTAGCATTTTTTGTAACTGTCTCACTGGAATGTGGTGATGGCTGTCAAAGATTTTAAGAGGAAGAGGAGGAATAATGGTAAGGAATATGGTTCATGTTTTACCACACTTGGCTTGAGTTCTAAGGAGATACCACAACAACCAGAACACAATCGAAATTTGTGAATCAAACACCAGGTGTGGCCAAATGTGACTAAGGATCAATACAAGAAGTGGAACAGAGCAGGTGAAGAAGGCACAAAACTCCCTCCAGTTTTAAGAGAGAGGGAGAAAGACAGGAAAAATAAGGACTGAGAAATCACTTGTAGAATATGGACTGGAGAAAGAGGTGGAAGAGGGTTGGAGGTAGGTCTATAGCAGAAGCTTCAGCTACTGTCTCAGGAATTAACATGTGGAACAAAGCCTCTCAGACACATTGGGAGTGAAGGTAATGAGGGGTGCCTAGCACTTTAGAGGAAGTTGATGGGGTGGTCAGTGGATGGAGGAAACTGAAGCAAACACATTCCACATATAGGAACTTGCGCAATGATCCTCAAGAGACCAGCCCTGCTGCACCAGCCCCCCTGTGGGGACTACAGGTAGGAGAAAAAGGGGCAGACTCACAGATATGAATGGACAGAAATAGAAATCAGTCAACCGTGGGAATATCTTGGTAGTCTTGCCATAAAAAGGCAGTGGCTTCCCCAGCTGTGTGGGAAAGATGGGAAGTCAGCTGAAACTACTGTGAGTAAGCTGAAAACTAAGCATGTTGTTCCTGCAGGGATACAGCATCCATCCTTCGTTTTAGTGGTACATGGAGTAATTCAATCTGCTTTAAACTGTTTTCATCAGCTAAGCTGCTGAATGCAAGACTGTATTTTAAGAGCCTTGCTAATAAAAAGTATATTTAGTTTATGTATTGTGTGCATCTCCTTCCTGTGAGCAATGGGAACAAAGATAATAAATGTTATAAAAAACCCAAACCAAACAAACCCTCAAACGGCATTACACAAAAAAATGCAAGAAATTGAGATCTGAAGATAAGTTTCTGCTTAGATGTATTTTTAGGTGAAGAACAGAATTTTGGCAAAATGGTGAGTATGCTTGCAGACTGTGGTTTGTGGCAGATGAGAGAAACCTTAGATACCATCTCTGAGTTACTGAACTTTTTTTAACCTAAAGAAAATAAACACCACACAAGTTCTCTCTGAAAACTGAACTGACTGTTGAAACCACAGGGTACAAGCTCCAGAGTGAAAATGGAGCATACAGCAAAACTTTTGAATTGCAGAATAAAAAGTTGAATGCCCTTGCTTGTGCTCACAGCTTTTGCTTTACCTATAAAACTGTATCTCAATGCATGAGTTTTCCCACTTTCCCTTTTCTGCTTCTATGATTCTCCCATCCTGCTGTTGGGGAGCATGTGAGTGGCTGCAAGGAGCTTGGCTGCCTACTGGAGTTAGCCAACAGTATGTTTTATAAAATAAAGGGAACATTAGGTGAAGTTAATGCAATATCTCCAGGGGCAAGGCAAATACTGATGTGATTTATTGGATGTTCAGGCTCCCAAGACTTGGATCATGTAATCATGTCCTTTATCATCTACCTCAGAAACTTCAGTAACAGAAGGCCCAAACCAGTAAGCCAAGAAGCATGTTTTCTCTAATGTCTTGACCTGAAAATTGTGACAAAAGTAACTTAAAATGGAAGAAAGACTTCAGAATTATGAATAGGACCTGAATTTGGAGTTACAATTCAAACCATGGCTAAGGGGTAGAGGTTTCCATGTCTAAGTTTTTTGATGCAAGCATAACTTCATGTTGAAATAGCAGAAGGCTCAAGTGTACTAACGTACAGGCTTCTCGTCAATCGGACAGCAGCTGCAACTGGATTACAAACCAAACTATCACCTACTAGGCACCCTCAGGTCAGACCCAAAACAGGAACATAAACTCGGTGTACCTTTACCCAACTGCTGATCCTAGGCTCTTTTTTTTCTCAGCACTACAGTGGAAATCCCCACAATTCCCTTCTCTCTAGAGACCACAGAGCTGCCTGTGAAAGACTGCAAAGAAATCTGATGCTGGGAATGTTGATACAGAGAAGACCTCTCCAACAAGATCTATGAAGAAATCTACAATCGTTTGTGGATGCTCCCCATCACATCATGGGATGAGTCCATCAGTCCTGGGACACAGAGTCACAGAATATTCTGAATTGGAGGGGACTCACAAGGATCATCAAGTCCAACTCTTAAATAACTAAAAAAACCAAAACACCTAAACTCAGCTGTCTGGGGAACTGGATTTGAAGAGTCCTAAATCATAAAAAGTGAACAGAAGAGTGCTCTCAGCTATGCCACCAGGGTTGCTTGAACCCTAGCAGACTGCAGGTCTGAGCAGCAAAGGACTTGGCCTTTACTTTCTCGTAGAAGGCCCCTGTACACTGTATGTTTTGTCATTTCCCTTAGAAATTCTCAAGTTCTGTTTTTTGCAACTGTAAACACAACCTTTCTGAAGAATCTTGTCCATTGATATTTAATCGCAATAATGAAAAACCTCAGCAGTCAACAAGAGCTGCTCTGTTGGACCATTGGGTCTTCAACCAGAAAACTTGGAGATTCTCACTGTGACAGCAGAAAAACTCACCTGAGGGTGCAACAAACTGCAGTCAGTCATCTCCTCCAGCAAGAATTTCAGCTGCTTAAGAACAGTCTTTTTAAAGATTTGGACAAGATTTGATGTGCCCTGATGCAAGTTACAATACCAAAACACTGTTGTGGCTATTCTGTATCTCAGCAGTATTGGTGTGCTGTGTAACACTCTAAACATCACTGACCAGGTCATCAAAAAGATGCCAAGACAGACCTGAGGAAACACTGACTCTTGAAGACCAAATATTTTCTGCATGTTGCAACCATGTTGACTTCAGCATATCTGCTATCTTGATGTACACAGATCTGATACACAACAGAGCACCTTCAAACAGCTCAGCTCATCTTGCTTGCATGCTCTGAGCTCTTGGCAGAGGAAGTAGTTTTGTTTCTGTGTACTTAAATTCAGCTACATCAACCAATTTACTTCCTCACATGAAGGAGATCCTACCATCCTGCTTCTTGAAATGGATGCAATGGAGCTACTGTTCATTTTATCTGTATGTGATCGCTTCATACAGCTGAGTAGAAGTCTGGAAGGGTTTCCTCACTGTACTTCCAGGGGAATTTCTCAAATTGCAAACTCTCAGATCATTAAAATGTGCTCTTGTAACCCAAGTATGTGTAGATGTTTTGAAGGCCATATTTTCACACAGTGATGGCAAAAAGTAAAGGCACAAGAGAAAGAAATGGGTCAAATAATTGAAATTCCAAACTGCAGTGCAATAGCTCTTGAAGACTTTCTCTGGCTTGCAAGTAGGTTTTAAGAACTGAACATTCACACACATTGATTTAAAGTTGCAAATGAAAATATGTTTAAGCAAGAGGAAAAAACTGTTTTTTTCAGTTCCAAGATCTTCTGTAACAGTAACAACAGTGTTTGCTGTAAATCATGAACCACTGAGAAAGCTATCATGATCAAGTATCAGCTGCATTTCAGTCTTTCTCAATAGACTTCCAATTCTTAAGACAATACCCATGAAAATACCTAATTAACAAAGCCTTTCTAAAAAAAAAAACCAAAAAAACCCCAGCCTGATGGTAACTTCCTTTTTTCCCCAAAACAGTACTGATTAGCAAACATTAGAAATAGCCTAAAATGAAATCCTAAGTATCTACAGTATTTTACTGAGCATTACTCTGAAGTAAGTAGTGTTAAAGTCTTGAAAATGTGCAATCCATAAGTACTAAGCAGTGAAAGAAATTTTTCTTTTTCTTTAATAAAAGCAAGACTTAAAAAACAAGTCTTACAATAGCAGATAACGCAAGAAACCTAAGGAAAAGAAAAGCAGGTTTTGCTAGAGAAACACTGTAAATCCAGGTCACAATTTATCTTCTCCTTTTCACATTAGGATCATATCTGCAATAAAAAAAAGAAAATTTGTCCAAATAAGTTAATGATATTCAAAAAGTTAACAACATGATGTAAATAGCTTTGTTATGTATTTACAACAAGGGAATCTCCAGTGTTCAATCCTTTCCCTGACTACACTCCTATAATTAGCTACAGTTGCTACTATTTGACTGAAGGATGTGTAAGGTAGAACCTGTGCATGAACTAGAGATAACCTTTAATAAAATTTTCACTGACTTCCCAGCTACTTATAATCTTTAAATCTGATGCATGAACAAGTTTCTCCAAGCTTTAATGACCCAACATTAAATTCCTTACTAAAAAAATCTCACCAAAAACCAAAAGAGGAGGAGGGGAAAGGGCTACTGTATATTTACACCAATATACAGCATTTGGCCACAACTCATTCAGACAAAACCTTTCTGCTGCTTCCTACTCCTACATAAAACATTTCCTTGCCTTACCTTCCCCTTTATACAGCTTCGGATTGATTGTTAGAAATTTAGAGCTACTTTCTGGATATACTAAATAGTTACCTGATTTACTGTAATTTGCTTAGAGTTTGCCTCTGCTTGACCCTGCTATCCCTTGGCCTTCCCTTTCTCTTCATTTGTGCTTCATCACTCAAAATCCTATGGTGCCTCTTTGAAATTCTGATGTGTTTTGTACTCATGCATGAATAACTTATGGACACAACTGAATGATCAGGCAGTTTTACTTCCACTAGTTCTGCTCTCATTCATCAAGACTTTTTGCTTAGGCAGGAAAATGCGACAACTTGTGAGCCAAATTACACCACCACATAGCTGGAAGGTTATTAGAAGTCACTGTTGTTCCTATACAACTCAGACTTCTGACAAAAATAAAATGGATACCCTTTGAAAGAAATGCTCTACGTTAACTGTTAATTAACAGAGCAAATTGTTAATGTTAAGATTTTCTGAATGCGTTGATATGTAGTATCATGTTTCTTTGATAGAGATTTGGAGATTTTCTACCTAAATGCACAATTTTTAGTGTCAGTCAAATGCATGGCAGGTGAGAAGTCAAACAGTGGTCCCTTGTTTCTTCACATAAAAAACACAGAAAGTAATGAAATCTTTGCTAAACAAAATGAGATCCTTATATTAAATCTCAAACCATTTATTTAATTTTATTTCTATAGCACTGTAACATTAGTTCTAACTAAATGTGTCCTGGGCACCAAATTCTATGGAAGGGGAGAGGGGGAAGGGACAGGAAGAGAAGCAGATATGAAAAGGGGATGATATATGATGGAAACCCCTCATCAGAATAACAGCAGCTTCAACCCTGTCTGTGACTGTCTAAAGAGATGCTGACACAGACAGTCATGAACAGTCTTTCCATGTTATATCCTCCACCTCACCTCCAGCCATTTTCCATGTTAAATGAAGCCTGGATGGTATTTGTTTTCCGGAGGGAAAGACATCAAACAACATTATCTGAAATTGTACAATGCCTGTGGCCTGAGAAGGAAAAAGGACTACAGAGAATCCACTACTGAGAGTGAATGCACAAAAAAACATAAGACCTTGTTAGGAACAGGGAGTGGAGGACACAAAGGGCTGTTACTGAACATAATCCATTTAACTGTACTCTTAGTAGCTAGTATAATATACTTTCCCTTCCTCCTCTGTCTCAGTATGTACCCAGCACAGCTTTTCTAGCCCATCTTCTCACTGGAGTACTTAATGACTCTTTCTAATGGCATCTTCAAATGCAATTTTCATGGGAAATTGCAGCTGTTAACATTATGCCAAGTAGTTTTATTCGAGATTAAGGTCAAAATTAGAAAGTTACAAACTGCTGAATGTTAAATTGTGTGTTTTAATATTTTTGACTGCAGAAACTTCATGCTTAGAATTAACTTTCATGCATGCAAATTATCTCAGTTTTCACTGCTGTGTTTCAAAAGGCAAAAATGAACCAAGATATTTTAAGCCAGTTAATATTCCAGCACAGCAGTCTAGCTGCATCACGTTTTTATAAATGATAACTGACATATATATATAAAGGCTGCATTGCAGATGTAAAAACTGGATAAAGTGGCAAACTTGGCTTACAACTTTTTCTAATTAGAAAGAGGTTATAAATCATTAAATTAGGATTGCAGTTGAAAGTAAATTGGATAGGAAATTAATTGAGCAGGACGATTCTCTCCTTCAAAAGAGACATTAGGGAAAGTGGTAGACAACTGAAGTGAGGGTTATCGAAAGAAAACTGCTGAAACAGACTGAATTTTAGAGGCAAATGTAATGTGTAATGGCAAAAAGCAAGGGCAAACAGCCAAGGAGAACCTGGGCCTATCAAAGAACTCTCTGAACTCCTGTGACACAAGAACTGATTAAAGCAAAATCAATAACTCTTCTACCCTGTCAAAAGCACAGCATGATCGGTTTCAAAATGCCACCTCTGTCTGTAAACTGGAAAGATGGTAACATGTTGAGGGAGTTTCTAACAGTTAAAAAAGGGTAAGAGCTCTTTCATTGTGAATGGCTTTGAAAGCAGCTTAAAGTCTTGAAGATAAGGCACACAGAGGGGGCATACTGAAGGATTTACTTAGCTTTTGGGGTGTTTTTTAGTTTTTACTTTAAATTCTGGGAATCATCACTTCAAAGACCCAAAAAGGAAAAAGCAGTTCCGCCAATCACTTACTTTTTCACAGAACTAGTACTCTGTTGCTTTAGCTCCCTCAAGTGACTCAGCACAGGGACAGACAAGTGCCATGGCCAGAATGAAACAGTGGCAGAACCCATCATTTGTTTCCCACAATTCAGATGACTGACTTAATGGTAAGATCAAAATGCTTCATTAGGCTCTAAAAACACCCTGGAACATTTTCTGGCCTTTGTGAACAATCAAGCATGTGCATATCAGCCAGGAAATAGCAAGATTTCTGTTTGAGAATACTCTTATTGAAGCAAGTCTGAATAAAATTGAAAGTTTAAGACATAAGAAAATTTAAGAGAAGTTGTTGAATCACTTTGACTATATTCCCTACATGGGAATACATGGAATTTTGAAAAGAATAGTCAAAGTAGTCTCTTACAAAATCAAAATTTGTCCAAAAAAAGATGTGATGCAAAAAATACACTGTCTTTAAGTACAAACATAAAATTCTTACCTAAAGAGATCATCAGCAAGTGATTCTTCCCTTGCATATCGGTTCTGTTCCTGAGAAAGTAAGTTTATTCAATATTTGATTGTTAAGGATGAAGCTAATGAACCATATAGCAACACAATATATTCTTGCACTAACAGTTTTTCCTCTAAGTTCTAAGTTAATTAGCATTATTTATACCCAGGGTGAGATAATCAAGAAGTGTTGATGTAACTGGATACCAATCAGACTGTGAAAACAGTATATGACTCATCAGCAAGTATTTTGAAGGAAACTACTGGGAAACAGTGCTATAGAACTGCTATGATAATAATATGTTTTTAGGGCTCTTACATATAAAGGTGAATATTTTTACAACAGAATTTTACTCAGGTATTTTCTGTTCTGTTCAAGAGTAGAGTATCAATTGTACTGCAGAACTATTTGAACACAGCTGACCATACAGAAGTTCCTTCTATCTCCCATTTTACAAATCACAAGTTTCCACAATGCTTATTTTGCTCACCAAAAATAGGTCATTAAAAAAAAAAAGGTCATTCTTTTTTAGGTTATTGAATTTTCTTTACATCAGTATTTCTGATTATATGAATGTTACATGCAAAATCAATTCAAATAATCAGCAAAAAGATGAGCCTTACCACTGACCTCTGACTTTCAGTAACTTTCCTAAAGTACATGTTCCTATGAGCATGTGTGGACAGCTTACTGGCTGAGGTTTTATTTAAAAAGTAAAATCCTGAAGTACTTCAGTAACAACCACAGGGTGGTATGACCACTTACATAAGTCAAGTTTTTATTTCATCATCTTTAAGAAATAATTCCTTACCTCCATTTCTTGCCTTAACCACTCTTCTAGCTCTGAATTCCTTTTAGCATGGTGAGCAATCAAATCTGATCCCCCAATAATGTATGGAAGTTGTCCTGCCCCTGGATAAGCTACCTGTTGGACAATAAATTATTACAACTACAAGGCAAGCATAGTACAAGTAAAAGATCTGAGAAATTCAGAAAGTCTATTCAGACATCACAGAAGAAAGTCAGCCAGTCTTTTTTTCAATAACATACAGAGGTCATATTTTAAAGCAACTGAAGGGAAAAAAGCATTTACAGAAAGCTGTAACTCCCTCTTTTTACCAGAAGAAACAAACGACAAAAATCTGAGAAGTGAAATATGCTAAATAAATCTAATAGTACATCAAATGGAGTTTGAAATATTGGTAAAAATCACTTTATATTTTATTGTCAGACTACATAGGCATCTATTACAAAACAGCAGAAAATACTATCAGAAATTTAAAATATTTTCTAAAAATGAGACCATGCTCCCTGAAAGTTAACCGTATAATATGGTATTTAAATTGTTTCTTTCTGTACCTAGCAATTTATAAAAAATAAAATAAAAAATAAAAATCTTTAACATATTTCTACAATCTCAAGGCAACACTTTTTAGTATTTTTAAATAGTGCCATCTTGTGATCATTTCAAATACGCACTAACCTTTTTGAACGTTTTGAAATTTTTCTTTCCCCCATAGCTCGTATTTCCAGTAAGGCAACTGTTCTGTCTTGGACGGCTGACAATCAGTGATCTAAACTCAGTCAACAGAAGCCTGCTAGGAAGACTGCTGGAGTCATCTTGCAGTTTGCTGGGGTTCTTATGGGGGAAGAAAAAGGAAGAAGCATTCAAGTGTATGAGCAGACACACAGCGTATCTAAGAGTATAAACTTTAGGGAAATTATCATGAGCAGAGTTTAACAGAAGTTATGATTACAAAAGGGTGAGGGGAAGCAGCAGCAGTGCTAGAAGCTAAGAACATGTATGAACTTCTCAGTTCCGTATATACTATTAACAGAGCTGTGAGCTCAGTACATTTTCTCTCATATTTAAATACATTGAAAAGGCAGGATCAGTAACAATGCTGAAGTCAGTATACTTTCATTTCACTAGGATTTTACTTCAGAATAAAACTTAAAGTAAGACTTTTTTTCCTCCTCTTTAGCTAATGTCTAAGAGTTCCTTCTCTCCTCCTCTCCACCTTGTCTCTTACCTGGGCTAATTCAATCAACCATGTGTACTCCAATGGCAACTCCAGCTAACTCCATGGAAGACAAACATCTTCAGCTCAATTCTAGCCTACAGATTTTTGGCCAACTCTAGGACTGTAAGCTGAATCTGATCAATGAAGCAATTTTTTTCTCGTACATGAGAATGTTGCTATGCCAGCAAGTTTGCATGCACACTTTGCTGCCTGCGGCTATATTTCTGTGGATTAAAAAGGATGTGTGGGTGCAGGACAAGTTCACAAGTAACAAACTATCTTTATGGACAGTTCTAGCCCAGATGCAGTACAGCTCTTCTACAGCAAAGTATAAACTACAAGTCCTTTAATCTGAGCTGACCCTGCACAGCATTCCTTCTTCTTGGACTGTTCTCTGTATGTATGCAAAAAAAGGTATCATTCTGCCCCTTGTTGACTGGCTACACTCTACTTGTTCTCTTCAGAATTTTTCAATTTTAGTTTCATTTAGCCTCATCTCCTTTTCCTCTGCCTCACTGCCATTCCAAGAAATTCTCCTCTCCTTTCTTCCTTCATCTCCCCTATAACAAGTTAGCATGCTATCTACTGTGAATCAGTCAATATTACATCTATTTTCTCAATGGTCCATCTCTTCCATTCTAGTTGTGATCTCCTTAGAGCAGACAAGGAGATTATGTCCTTGTCTGATCTTTAAGCAGCAACCTAACAAAAACATCAGTACAAGCATTAACAGCACTGAAGGGTTAATACAATTACATTGTGTCTGTAGTTTCAGTCACCTTAAGCACCACCCAAATGCTGTTACAGAAGCACACAGATGAACTACAGGTGCTCTGTTTTTCACAGTCAATAAGCTGGACTGTACTATTCAAATTTATGTATGATTATGTTAAGGAGTACAGTCTTCTGAACCTCCTTTATTCTGAAATAGGATCCACAAATATTATGTTCTTAAAAGCAAAATTTTGATGTGTTTTTGTAATGCTTCTTAAAGTTCACTGTTCAAACTTAAAATTAACTGGTTTCTTACCGAGACTGGTGATTCTTGCTTGATCTTACATTTCATTTCTGAATTTACAACCGATCCAAGTTCCTCTTCTTTCTATTTGATTAAAAATTATTTTAAATATAAAACTGAAATTAAATGGAAATTTAATTACAATAAATAGTTTTCTGCTCTTTACAGTGCAATAAGCATTTTCAAAAAATGTAAATGTTTAGACAGAAGAGAAACTGCCTTATCAAAGGAAAAACCAGAGCAATATTCAAGAAAACACAAGCTGTGTTTTGGTTTTGCTGTTGTTTTTGTTGGGTTTGGTTTTTGTTTTAAAATTTCTCATACAGGAACTTTAATAATCTTTCACATGATGTCTAAAGATTCTGGCTTGTTCTGCTGAACATTACTGTGGTATTCAATAGAAGAGGTCAACTGAAAGTTTCTTCAGAAAATTAATTACATAAAGGTAATTGAGTACTATTTTAGTATAAATATCAACATTATGATTAACACAGTAACAAAGAATATGAAAAGTTTTTCTTGGACCAGGGATATATTCTACCTACAGTATTTCTGGTAAAAAGAGAGGAAAGATTTCAGAATACAAACAGCTTTCAATTCACAAAGAAAAAATGCCCTGAAGATGAAAAAACATTTAGGTAGGTGGAAAACTGCAGTGTTCACATGTAATAGATGAATCACTCTGAACTAAAAATTGATGTATAAAATTTAAGCAAACTTTACAAAGCCACTTTCTGTATGCAGGTAGTCTCATCCTTAAAGGAGCTAACTGCATCCTTCTAACAGAGTTGCAAATTTCAAGATTAAGCACGAGAAGAATATAAAACTTACCAATATTTTATTCTCCTGTCTCTGATTTACATTTACTTCTTGAGTCCTGCTTCCTTTGGCTTCCAAACATCTTTTTTTTCGTGTATTTCCTCGAGCTTCCTGGTCATGATCTGCTACTTGATCTTCCCAGTCTAGGTCTCCACTTCCAAACACAATTTCCAGCGCTTCTGTATCTTCAGATAAATCATCTAACTCTTTTCTCTTCTGCGGTGCATGACTTTCACTCAAAGTGGTTTTAGTGTCTGTTTTATCACTTGTTACTTTGACACTTTCCCTCGTAAGCTTTATACCCACGTCTTCTAATGAAAAACCTGGGTTTGGGTCTAGGATATTATTTTTCTTTTGATGCTGTTTTGCTTCACTGTTCCAGACCGATGAAGTTGTGGGTTCAGTGCACTTGGAAAGAGGTGATGACCTTTCCTCCAGTTTTGCTAGTTTGGGTGCAGATGTTTCCTCTTCTTCTTCAGCTCTTTCCCTTAGCCAGAAAGAAAGTACAAAATCATTTTTGAGTATGACCAGCTGTATCCGCAACATAACAACTTTCTCGGCTTTTAGGGACTGCACTGTAAAATTTAAAGTACTCTTGAGGAAAAGCTTGCCATTCTAGGAATCTGATCTAAAAAATTACCTTTTAAAGTATGTTTCCAATTGAAAGTACACTGATTGAGGTAAAATTATTTTCCAGAAACAGCACCAACATAACAATAAGGGAAGCAATGTCAAGAACATTTCAACGTACCTCTTTCTAGCTACCTGGAAGTAATTTGTAATTGAGTTGGACTGGTGACGTGAAGCACACTCGCTGGGTTTACCAGCTTCTGAAATTTTAGATGGTGAGACAGGCTGACTTTTTTGACTCAACCCAGATGTTCTGTTCCCTCTAAATATGGCTGTTCCTGCATTTACACTGCCACTTGTCCGTGTGTTTTTCTTTACGGTGGTTGTATCCTGGAAAGCCATTTTCCGTTGTTTATCCATCTGGGGAGTATTCTCTACCTGCATACTAGGTTAGAGAGAAAAAAGTACTAAATGACACACAGGAAGTTACCAGAGACACACTGAGAAAACCACTTTTATAAAAGCTGTATCTGTACTTTATACTTATAAACAATGTGCTAAAAACAAAGTGTAAAATCTGCTATGTTCAATATATTTTTATAATTGTGAAATGGCTTGAAAATTTGTAATAGTTAAGACAGTCAAATCAGATACACAGTATCTATATTTGCATCTGCAAAAGTGATGCAAGTCCTATGTGATGAATTTTGTTATCTAGCACTCAAAAGCAGAAATTATCTCACTGCAGACAAGTGACAGCAATTTAGTAAATGCCATTTCTAACACTCTGTATCTTTGCCCTTGCCAATGATACAGTTCCTCTTCCACAAAAGACTGCTTTATTTGCAAATATTAGAAAGTATTTCCATGAATACTTTACCATGTCTGCTCTTCTGTATCAGTTATGTACAATGTGCTGCTATCTGCAGCAGTTGGCATTATGGTTTCATCCACAGCCAAACTCTGAGAAATGGCTCGGCCCACAACAGCTGATGCAGGAGTACTTTCAGTTACAGCTGCAAGATCAGCACAAGAGAAGAATTAGAAGTTTAATATCAAATCCGTGTTTCTTCGCACCTGTTATCACACCTTAGTAACTGATCGGGTGAGATTTTTGTAAAATTATCTTAGAGCAATTTTAATATAAAAATTAAGCAGATTTATTAATTTAAAAAACATGAAAAAAAAACCAGTTCCAAAGGAGCATGTTCTTGGAGTCAGTCTTAGTTAAATATTCCACTAAATTAAGTAATGGAATTTTGCTTAAACAAAAATGAAGCATAATGAGAAATCATATATTAACACAGATATACATAATAAATCATGTGATATATACTTTATGCAAAACTGTCAAAGCACAAAATTCTTTACATTTACACCTTTATGGTGTTCTCTAACATGATTATTGTATCTGGGATACAATTTTTTCAATTGTAAACATAGTTCCCTTTAAAAGCCTGATATACAGTCCACTTACACAATTTAATCAGATGACAACTTTTATCCAACTGAATAATTCAGACTGGAAATAAGAATCAGTATTTCTGATTCATTCAGTGTTTGCAGGGTAAGAATCTAAAAAATTTAATCTGAGAATTAATTGTGTATTATTTTCTAAACTAACTGTTCAGACAATACATCATTTACAAGTTATTCATACAAGAATACCATTTGACCAAAATACTTTTCATGGCTCTGCCAGGTACTGCATGTGTCTTTCTCTCTTCAAAACACATTTTCGAGTAAGTAATGTTCCCACATGTAAAGACAAATTTACGGGTTTTTTCTTTTGATTTTTTAAAAAATAATTGTAGGATTTGCTACCTGATACAACACTTCATAGAACAAAATAGGACCTGTAAAACATAACTGTGAAAATTTTACAGAAACAAAGTACAGAGTAACATGAAAAGAGACTTGGACAAACAAAACCTCTTTTCTGTCTCTCAGACTTTTATTACTACCACATTAGCAAATACAAGCCTCAAATCCCAATTTGGAATGTCTACCCCCAAACTATTACTATAGCAAATATGACAATCATGTCTCATTGTTTTTACTTCTGATGGCAAGATTATTTTTAGTTTTGAATTGGGTGGGAGGTGCTTGAATTTTCCTAAAGCCAATTCCTTTTTGTGCAAAGACAAAAAAAAAGTAAGCCTTGACAAATTAATTCCATTCTTATTCTCTTCTAATACTGATCTTTTACCCTCCCTATTACCCCAGTTTTGTATGAAGAGATAGAACAGCATGGAATTCAAACTACCACATACATAGGAATTCAATGGCCACTACAAATATGGACTTCAGAAGATTTTTTTGAAGTACCCTTCTTTTCAAGATCAATGTATCTGCTTTTTACGCTATTTTACGTCTACTTTTAATTTACATCTAAGTCATATAATTTTCATTGTAATTTATTGTAAGACCTCTAAAAAACAACTACCTCTTTAGCATTGCATACTTTTTTCATTGTAGTGGTCTTGCAAAGTAAAAGAACTTGATCATCAGCCATTCATGATGCCCCTACACAAAAAGAAATTCTGCCTCTTTAAGGCTGTTAACTTATTACTACCCTTCTTCCAATTACCTTTGTTGGTACCAGCCTGCTTTTGAGGGTTGCAGTATTTTTCTGTAGACATGAAGATAACTGCCAATCCAATTTCTGCCTCTGGAATAGCCCTGAGATTCTTGCTGTTAATATACAAATAATAATTAAAAAAAAAAAGACAAAAAAAAAGTTTCTCAGTACATATTCAAAGATGAATAGGCAAATGGCTACAAGTATGGCAAAGTACAAAATGTTCCATTCCTCCTTTCAGTCTACACTACAATTTTTCACAATACGGTAAATCAGCATAATTATCCTTTATTAGAGCCATGTCCTACATGTATGAACTCCCATGTTTCCGGCTCCTTTAGCCACTGCCTAGTCCCACTAATCTCGTCAATACACCTCTCCCTTCCAGATTTTTGGGCATTTAACTAACTGTGCTCTCCCTCTGATTCAAAAATGTGTGAATGGAAAAAGTGACTTGAAAGATCTAAGCACTTCTTACAAGTCAGGTGCACATTCCCCATATCCCCCCCTTCTTCTATACTACAGCCATAAGAAGAGTTTAAATAGTCTTCTCTACCTACCAGGACAATTTAGGGAAACTAGGTTTATGTATAAAGGATTGAGACTTTGTTTTCTTTCATTGTTTTAATAAAATGGCATAGTGAAAATCCTAACATATATAAAATATGCAGTCTGCCCTCTCAAAGAAAACCTACCACCAAAACAAAAACTTATTTTCATGAAACAGCAGCTGCTCTTCAGAAAAACTGTATGTAAATAATTATGAGCCACATGACCTGAAGGTGCCATCTCATTTCTTTTTGATGAAGTACATACACTTATTGAAATACCATAATTATCTATTTTCCATTCTTAGAATATATTGATTTTAACTTCTTTTAAATAGTAGAAGAAAAACTATTTGCTGTCTGTAATTTCAAAGAAACTTCATGACAATGAATTTTTGTAGAACTGGATCCTCAAAAAAAGAAAAAGAAAAGGAAACAAGACCCCCATCAAATCCTCACAGAACTGCCAAGTCTCTTCTTTCCTGCTTCAAGAAATTTTAGTTATGCTAAGTACTGAAAGGAATGAAAACATGCCCCCTTTATAAGCAACCTCCTGCTCAAATATGTACGTGAACACTATGACAAAGTCTCTGCAGAAATTCTGAAATTACCCTTCTGCTGTACAAGAAAACAATGCTGCACCTTTGCAAGACAGTCAGAATGGAATCAGTCCAGTTTCTCATAGAGTCAGATCCTGCAGTCTGAGAGTTTGTCAAACCCACATCAACAACACAAACTTCAGGAGAAATCAGTAAAGGCGTTTCTTTTTTTCCTTCTGTCATCAACTTTATTTCTCCTCCTCCAAGAATAATTGCTGGACCCAGTTTCTTGTGCTAAAAAGAGAATGCAAATAAAAAAAATAAAATCTTAAAATACAGTCAGCTTAGAAGCATTAGAGCACTGAACTATGATCATAGTGCTTCTCACTGATACACTACTGCAGATGTAGTGTGTTCTGTTTCTCCCCTACACTTCATGTTACTTAGGCCACTGTATTGTAGGATAAATACATAGAAATCCTTCTTTCCTGACAAACCCAGAATGAGTGTGAATTCAGAATATGCTGAGTTGGAACGAAAACCACAAGGATCATGGAGTCCAATTCTTATTCCTGCACAGGACCATCCCCAAGAGTCACATCATGTGCCTGAGAGTGCACAATTCAGAGAGAACAAATCTGTGCTTAGCTACCCCTGCAATATTTTTGCAATGTAAAGCCTGATTACCTGCTTAGCAGATAGAAATATAAAAGTTTTTCCACTGAATATTGTTTTCCTTTCATGATGCTCAGATAAATCCAGTTTTTCAGTGCCAATGGAAGGCTCATCAACTGGAGGATAAAAGCTGCAAGAACAGAAAATTAAAGTTACAAAATTCAGATCTGCTTATCAGTACTGACTCACAGTCCTTTCTGTTTTAGGGTAAGGCTCTAAAATTAAAATGCTGCATTGCGCTGTTAAAACTATTTAGATAAATATTTTTTCAAGATGATTGTTAGGAAGAAACAGAGCCCCTGATTTCTCAACATCTAAGATTAGACCAAGACCTTCTACTTCAGTAACTAAGACAACAACACTTTTAGGAATATATTCAACCAATCTGCTGTATACACATTGACATTCTCACTAACAATACTGACAAATGAGACTGCAACCTCATCCCGAACTTACTCGAAATAATAAAACTCCACACAAAATTAGTCATCTTGCTTTCTCTAACCTTCAGTTGGGGACAGCCACCCCTCATTCTCTTCTGCTGTGTCAAGAAATCCTGTACCACTACACTCGATAACAGCCTACTTATGTGACAGAAGGCAAGTACACTTTTCTTGCTAGTGGGATAGAGAATTACCCTGCAAATTCTCAACTGTTTTGTCCAATACAAGCAAAGTCAGCAGGAGTTCAGCTGGGGAATAGATTAAGCAAAAGTAAAATTTTACCCTGAAGCTCTCATTTTTGTCACAGCCTGTGATCTCAGCTCCAGGTAATGATGGCATGCCCACATCTAAGACAAGCATCTAACTCATAATTTCAGGATAGTATTTATGGGATCTTTGAGCCACACACTCACTACTCCAGCAGTCCTGACAGAGCAAGAAAGAAGGAAAACTATAGGTCAATTTTAACCATATTATACTACATCTGTACCTGAACAGCAGTTTATGTACATTGTCTGGCTGATGACAGAACTACTTATCTTTATTCTGACTACTGATTACACATTCTTCTCACACTATTACACAGGAAAAAAAAAAGATGCTGAAACACACTAACAAAATCTGCTTTTACAGCAAAGATTAGCAGATTCTAAGCAAGAAACATATTCCATGAAATGCTGAAATATTGAAGTTCTTGAAAAAACGGAGCACCTGTAAACATAAAACCATTCCTCAGACACTGAATATTCATATACTTTTATCTGAAGAACATGCATGTAAATTTTCTACTGCATCCAAATACATAATTCAATTACGATAGGCTAGATTGTACTATATAATTACAGTTCCTTTTAAATAATCTCTTCTTTTGTGTTCTTCACAATCAATTCTTTAAGTTTTATATACTCAATGAAAATTAATCAGCCTGAATCCATCAGGTTTCAAAACAAGAGTATTTGATAAGTTTCAGCAGCCTGTTCAAGGTTTACAAAAATACTGTTCCACTGAAATTGAAATAGATATGAAAAAGCCTACTAATTTAAGGAAAGAAATAGGGCAACTCAGACTTTAGTTATAAAAGGCCAGAAGACTTCTGACACTGAGTCCCATAGAGACAGTTATTAAGATAAATACAGGGAACAAAGTCATCTTTAAAGACAAAAGGATGAATACAAAAGGAGAAACAGTAGTTTCCATGACGTTGAAACCAGACTGTAGTTTCTCTATAAATACATTTCAAATCTATGTTTTTTTAATTTCAGCAGACAACTTCAACTGATCATCTCCTCCTCAAAAAAACCTATTCTCAAAAGACAACAGTCTTTTACCGTCTTAGGATTCCAAAGTGCTCCTCATACTCAGGCCCCATAGGTTTTTAATACTAATACCAGTATCCAGAAAAGACCCATTACAATCTTGAATCTCTGAATGAACAGATTTTGATTCTTGGTGAGTTTCTGTTACAGACTCAGTTACTTTCCTACGTTTCCAAAGCCCTGCACTATTTACACTGGACTGCAGTAATAAAATATATTATTTTATACAGGGCTGCACTTATGCAGCCATTAGTGAAATCTTCAGTTATTGTTCTACCTTGCACAGGTTGTCAGAGAGAACCAGAGGACTGGGGCAATGCACTTCACCACAAAAAAACCTGAAGTAAGAAGTGTCACATTCATATGGGAACTGCAGGTTTGCAATTCCGTGAAGTCTTAGTACAAATAAAAAAGAAGCTCTTTTTGGTTTTGGTTTGGTTTTGTTTTTGAACTTTAGCATAATATTTCCCTTGATTTTTTGGGGGGACCAGATCTCCAGTAATAGTAAAGATTTAGTTAAGTGTCACCCTGTATTACCACCTCAATATACTTTTCTTATTTCATACGCAAACTAGCATTGCCCCAAGTGGTTTAGTGTCCTGCAGATGTACCAGCTCAGGTCAGCTCTAGCTACAATGCACAATGTAGAGATTCCCTGTCAAAGCTCAAAGTATTTTTGGGAAATGAATTAGAATAGCTGCTACATAAATTTTCAGTATCTTCCCACAAACTACATCTCAAAATTATTAGCCATTTAAAATACAGCAATTTTTTAAAATATAGATCTGTGTATGACACCAGCTGTCTCATTTAGCTTGATGCAGAGCTCTCTTTGAAAGCTACACGATGGATATACTGCTAGTGTCACTGAGTTCCTCTCAGGGACTTGGGAGTTAGCAGAAATCTTTTAAAAGTGAAACATATCCATCTGCTTCCATTTTAGCAGCATTTAACAGCTCAATTATACTGTCACTTCCGTATTAAAGGAATGGACAACACACATCCCAGTTTCAAGAACCTGTTTGCTTGTTACTGTTAACAGACAGGAACAGTAGTTTTACAGCCAGGGAACATTAGACCAAGTAGGTTTCAGATTGCACAACCAATTAATAGCTTTTGATGGCTTGCATAACTTGTACTAAAAAAAAAAACCCAAAACCCCACAAAAGATCTGCCAGAAAAAGTATTTCAGAGAGGACTAAACAGTTTGTTTAGTTTTCTCACATTCTTATAAAACAATGCAGACTTTTAAGTAGAAGGGAAAGTTATAATCCATTAAGATTCTACCTTTCTTCTGAAACTGAAGAGCAAATGAGCTTTAAACCACTCACAGATGACTGATTTGACATATTACATAAACCCCTGCAAATGTAAAGCAGCATCTAGAAACTAAAGAGTACTTCCTACCAATTGCTCCAGATTGGCACCTGTATTGTTCTAACCAGGTCCTGTCACGTTCTGTGAAATATACTTTACCATATACCAAGTGCAGCTTATTGTGAAACCTCTGCAGATTTGCATCTATTACCACGTGTGCACCAGGTTTATTCAGCTGCCCTTCCCCCCAAGCCTCCTTCTTCAAACTATTCTTCAACTATTCTACCAGCAGATCCACTAAAGAAAATAAATTAAATTGCTCTGTCCAAACATATATGCCTATGGATACACAAATCAATGTATATCCATAGAGATGTAAAATAATTGACTCCCATTATTCTTCACCACTTATTTCCCCCAACTTGAACGAGTAGTGTCCAGCATTCACCTGGTTGTAACAACACATGCAGAAAAATCATGATGTCATTTACAGTAATTTTACAAGTTTTTAACATCACTTAACAGGAAGAAAAGTTCACCGTTATTTTTCAAATGCCAAGTGCCTTACGATTCCCATTCAGTACTTATTTAATTCCACAGTATTGTCCAAAGCATGAAGAACATGAAGAACAGAAGCAATAAAAAAATGTACCCACACAGTTTACTTTTTAAAAAAACATAATGAAGATTTCTCACCTGCATAAATCATGTGTTCCTACAAAAAAAAACAACCACCACAACCCCCAAACAAAACACAACCCTTTTCAAGGTAAAAATAGTAGCAACACGGGCTCAGATAAAATTGTCAAATACAATAATGGGACTATTTTACACTTTCCTACATAGAGAAAATAACCAGAGGGTTATTTAATCATATTCCACGGTATTTACTTATTCCAAAGTAAGAATTCCCTTTTCAAATTAATTTAACCATGAAAACAATGAGTATTTTATTCTCATCTAGTGAAGACTGAAACAGGAGCCAGGCCTAGAAGAGTTAACTGAGATATCTTGGCCTGCTAAGAAACCTCAATACCTGTTTTGCTAGAAGAACATTTTAGGAACACTGGTTAATATCATGTTCTGTTCTGCTCACTGGACCAAAGGCCTTATTATAGAAAGAATAGGAGTAGTACACACACAGTAATAAATTAGGTGAACTAGATGTTTGAATAAGATCTAGAAGGCCCAGAGCCAGGATTTTGCAAGCTTGAAGAATTCGGGTCACCTAACTGAAGAGGTCAAATTGAGGAAGACATCCATGGTGACCAGCAGAGGGATAAAGGCTTGAGGAGAAGACCCCCACAGTAGAAGACTGCACATGTCTGGAAAGACTCCACCCAGAGACCAGTCTACTCATTAATATGTATAATAAATGATGTAACCATGTATCTAAAATGTATAAAATGGCTTAGTTTTGCACTTGCAAGTTGAGCAAGTTTGTCCAGTGCGAGCTGGCTTGCTCCCAACGTGAATAAACAAATACTTTGCTGCTCTCTGAGCAGTTTTTCAGGCCAATTTTTCGGATTCAAGACCAATGCACATTAGAATCACTTCATTTCACAACAGATAATTAAAAACCTCTGATGTTTCAGGAAATTCAAGGGTCAGGTTAACTCTGTTTTGACCAAAGTTTACTGTAAACTCAGTAACTAACCACACACTGGGAAGATATGTTTACATAATGAAATAAGCTTGACACAATTTCTTTTATAAAAATGTAATTTATTTTTATGTATCAACTCCCAAAAGTGTTTGAAGTAACATTTAAATTCACTAACAAAACAAGTTCCTACTTAGAGATGCTAACACCTCTAAGTGTATAGTCAATTCCAAGAGCTCATTTTATAAATCTAGGCATGAGATCAAGAAAATGGCCTGACTATTAAAATGTGTGTCATGTTAAACATTCTTCCACAAATAAAGTTACTGTGAATCACATATTCTGTCAAAAATTATCAGATAAACTGTAGCTGTTTGATAATCTAACTCCTACGAATTTAATTCTGTGACATAGTAAAAATAACGATTTGGCAACTTACCTTTCATGATTTGGCAACTGCTGCCTGGACTGAATAGCTCTGATTGATTCAACAAAAAACTCTGGTTTTATAATTGGTCGAGCACAAATCAAAGCACATATAGTCTGAAAGGCCAGAAAATACATATTTATTGCAAGGAAAAAATTCAGATAGAATACGGATCAACTGATATTAGCTTTCTGAGATCTCAGATGTGGAAACTGTCACACAAACAAATAAAACAATACTGATTTTTGCTACCGAAAAACAGGATAGTTTTGCTTCTAACAGCCTAGCTCTTTTAACTGGTGTCTTGACAAAAATTATGAAAATGTAGAAGGCAACTGATGAAAATCAGTAACTCTTCAAATTTGGCTTTTTTTCATTTTCTTTCCCTCCAATCTCCCATCGACATATACCTCTTCTAAACTTGGAAGAGCTGAGAGCATAGTTTTGCAGAGAAAAACCTTGAGCAGATCTAAAATTTAAGTTGCATTTGTGGGAAAACTGCAAAGCAACACTATCAATATGCAAAAGTTCAACATACCTTAACAGTAACTTTTACTGATACCATGACAAGGTGGGTACACTCTTTTGTCCATTCATTCACTACAAGGCCTCCAAGCTGCTGAATGGCTTGATTTAAAGCAGTTTTCTGAGCTACATCTAAACATGAGGAGCAGACAACCAAAGGTTCATACTCCACTCTGCAAAGAACAAGTAAAAGTGAACTCCTTTAGTTATTCCAGCCAATCATTACAATGGACAGACCTGGCTTAACTGTCATGTTTGTGTCTCAGGGAAATCTGAAGAAAAAAATAAAAAGATCCATACTCTTACCTAGATAAAAGACTGAGCTATAAAATTTCCTGAAGAGAAATTAAATACCAATTTTTATTCAGAAAAATTGATGACATTTTGACCTGATGTCTCAAAGATTTCTACAGACTTTTGGATCTTTCACAGACATCATGCAGAATTAGTGCATCAAGAATACTGCAAAGTCTGGGAATATCAAAAGAAATTTGAGCATGTGCTTCCAAAAGCAAAAGTATGCTCAACATAACAGTTCATCAACAGGTTAGTACTTAAAAAATACAAGTGTCATAGAATGCAAGTTGAAGTAATTTTTTCCTAACACTGTCATTACCCTTGACCATAAGGTTATTTATACTTGTAGATCTTCCATATGGAACTCAGTATATCGAATTCCATTATTTGATTTGGTTTAGTCTACAAAGTAGAAAGAAATGTAAATAATCCCTCTAGTACAACAGCCATGATGTATCTGGTCTCCTGGTATGAATTCTGTACCACATTTCAGGTATGTTTCTCTAAAATACCAACAATAATTTATTATAGTAATTTGAGGAGAATGCTGGATTTTTTTCTAACAAATAATACCAGCAGCAGTGATAAAACTGAATCAAATTTTAAGGTACAAAGCCACCTGCTCATTGCTTTAACATTAACTTTGATGGTCATTTAGACCTTTCCTGTTTACCTGCCACTTCACTTCAAGGAATGTTTCCTATATATAAACAGATAGCACTGGCTACTATCTAAATTTGAAAACAATGACAAGTTGAGTTTGCTGAAGAGAGCAGTCATATGCCACAGGAACAAGCACGGCTAGCAATGCACAAAGCATCCTCCAGCAATGTCTGTTCTTTCCTCATTATATTATCAGCAGCTAACAAGGGCCCAGACAAGCTCCCTCCATTCCCTAAACCTTCCTTAGAATCATGTATGTTTTAGGATTTTTTTCTTTGCCTACGATAGCCTGAAAACAGTCATTGTACATGATACACCTTTTAAAATGCCAATGCTTTACTATTAACAATTTTAATCTCTTAATGTCAAAATACACTATACTATAAAAATATAATGGAAGACTATTTCAGAAACAGGTGTGAAACATAGGCAAAATATTATTTGTCTCCTTCGCTTTCTAAAAATTCATCACTGTTGTATTGCTTGCCAAGTCATATGATGTGCTAAAATACTCTTTTCAAAAACTGAACTTTTTTTACTTGATATTTTATAATCAAAGCACTTACCTAAACTTGCTCTCAAATACTCCAAAGTTGATTCTGTCACCAGACTGCAAAGACACTGAAGTGCCATTGAGTTTTGATCCATTAACAAAGGTACCATACTTAGATGTATCTTTTACTGTTAATATAGGGACTGAGAGAGATTGACTCTGAAAACAAACATAAACAAATCATTATAGTTTATCAGAAAGCGATAGTTTTGTCAGAAACAGGTTACTATAATTATGGATCAAAGCAGTGGATAAATAAGAAGTAGCCTACAAAATACCATCTTAAATAAAGACTTTAGACAATGAGGCTGACTAAATTATTCATCTTCTGGTTTTCACTGTGGAGGAATGAGAGAAAACACACGTGTTTAGCTTCAGACTGTTTGTGCTTCTTACATTCAGTCTTTCTGGAGACTAGTCAAGGCAATCATTCACTGGCCCAAAGCATCTGATAGCACAATTTAGCAAGGCTCCCAGATTTATTATTGACATTTTTCCCTATCATTCAGCCCTTTCCCTCACTTCCTTCCACAAGGACTGCTAGTCTTCCCCAAGCTGCAGGGCAGGAGATATCAGCATCTTTTGAGAAGAGGTTAGACACTGCCAGATTTCCAAAATGGTCCACAAGCCAATGAGAACATTGTTAGCTTGGTTTATGGCATTCTGCCACACAGTTACATGCTATTTCACAGAATCACAGAACAGGTAAGGTTGGAAGGGACCACTGGAGATCATCTAGTCCAACTGCCTGCTCAAACAGGTTTCCTTAGAGGATGTTACTGAGGGTTATCCCCAGGCAGCATTGTAGTATCTCAGGAGATGGCAACTCCACAACTTCTCTGGGCAACCTGTTCCAGTGCGTGGTCACCCACAAAGTAAAAAAATTCTTTCCTCATGTTCAGGTGGAACTTCCTGTGTTCCAGTTTCTGTCATTGCCTCTTGTCCTATTGCTTGGCACCACTGGGAAGAACCTGGCTCCATCCTCTAGACACCCTCCCTTCAGATACATATAGACATTAATAAGGCCCCCATTTAGCCTTCTCTTCTCCAAACTAAACAGGTCCAGATCACTCAGCCTTTCCTCATAAGTGAGGTGCTCCAGTCCGCTCCTCATCTTTGTAGCCCTCCACCGGACTCACTTAGTATGTGCAGTATTAAAAGGACAAATTCATGTTATGTATTTTATTTTAAACTCAATATAAGGTTAATAAATTAAATTCCTGCTGACTAGCTTCAACACATCCACAAATGCTGCAATACCTAAGTAACAGTAAATTGGTGTTTGCTAATTCTCCTCAGTACATTTTCATTTTCCATGCCCTAAGCAAATACAGATTTAATGATGCAAAATGAAATAGAAAGTAAGCCTGCAGTAAGACAACTGAAGCACTTTCCAGAACCAAGACTTAAAACTTGTCTATATAATGAAATTTAATTGCATAAATATCCTGCTATGATTATTTTAATAAAAATTGCTAGTAAATCTTCACTCGGATAAAAGGGAGCTTGGACCACTAGAATTATACCACTATATTTCTCAACAAAGGCAAGCAAACCTAAAGAAACAACAATAAATTTCAAAATTAAAAAAAGGCAGGTGATCAACAGTTCTACTCAGAGCATACAATGCTGGCGAGAGGAAAATGAGAGTATCCACGGTCACGGCAGACTGAATTATCACACAGGCCATTGATAATGCAGTAAAATGCTGGCTACTTACAGGGCTTGTTTCAGGACGACTTACTGTCAGAACTGCATGACTTCGACTGATGGACTGATCATCCTGAATTAGAATTGCACAGTTTTTGCGTCCAACAACATATTCTGTATCACTTAAAAGCCGATATGGCTCTCCTGGAAATAAACAAGAAACAGAAAAATATCAGTTTACAAAAAATGCTAAAATACAGAAAGCACATAGGAGACATTCAGAAGTTTGTAGTATATCTGAGACTCAACTCTGTAATTAATCATTTATTAGGCTGATTAGAATTATGCATTTAGTTTATAGATGAAACATCTTTCTTCCTCTCTCCTTTGATTTGTCCATTATAAAAGGACACATTTTATGATAAACAAAGCAGTTACAAAAGGGGCAACATACCTTTTTCAAGAACAATATATTTTTACTAATACTCTGCCTTTTAACTTTTCTCTAGTATTACTTTTTGACGATTAAGTGCTGCATATGGAAGAAAAAAGATTACAATGTAAGATACCTTTTCTAAAGAACACCTTTTGAAGAGTGTATCATTTTTTGAGGGTGTAATTTATTTACATGACTGATTAAGAGATTCAGAGAAAAATGTCCTCCTAATGAATCTAAGGAGATCTACAGTGTTAACCAAACTGATCCTTAGTAAGTTCAGCCTCTGACCAATACTTCAGCATATCTTTGGTACCTGCCACCTGGACCGTATGGTGGCTTCCCAGTGAATGGACTGACTCCATCCCATGTGCTACTACTGGTAAATGGAGCCAGAAATGCTTCTTGATGGAAATGAGTAACTACAGATTAAATTCTAGTTTTCAACCCTGGGCAAATAACTTTGCAAATATGAACTGTAGAGAAACAATCATCCTGAATACAATGAAAATAGTAGTGTTTTGCCTTCTGATTAAAATTTTCCAGGCAGTAAGAGATAACTCAGTTCATTTCAATAGGATTAGGTACTGTTGCCACTAGGAGATAAACATCCAAAATTCAGTCCCAGTGAACTAGGAAATAGAAAGCAGATCCAGCTGCGATAGAACTGTTCCTTATGCAGCAAACACTTAAGAAGGAAAGTATATATTATATGATACCTACTATTAAAGCTCCTATGGACAAAGAAACACGAAGAACAGTACAGGGGCAATTTAGTTTCAAAACTCTGCATCCAAGAAACTCCCTGAAGTTCAACACTTGGTCCTTGAAACATCAATAGTTAAACATTGCTTCTGAAAGACACCTGAGGTTGCTGCCTCAAAGCTCAACTCTTCAGGCATTTCAAAGCAGCATCTTAAGACACCCCATACGGGCTCGAAAAGAAGCCCTATTAGATTCAACAGGAGCTGTGGTCTGCAGTGCTCCACGGAAAAGAGGAGGCTGGGCCGCGGACGAGCGCCCAGGGCAACGAGGACTTGGTCACCAGCGGCCCGAGGCGGCCCTGCCCGAGGAGCAGGGACACGCGAGCCCGGCCGGAGCCAGCCCCGGCGGCAGCCGAGACAGCGGCACTCCCGGCATCCGAGGGCAGCACCCGGCCCGCGGCTCCGGCCTCACGCCGCCCGGGGACTCGCGCAGGCGCCGGCCAGGGGAGGAGGGGACCCGCCGTGCTCGGGCCCAGCCCGCCGGAGCGGCAGCGGCGGCGGCGCCTAGTGCTCCCTCACCTTTTCCTGAGGCGGGCACCAGCTTCCACATCCTGGAGCTCTCCGGCGAGCCGGGACGAGTCTGGAACGGGGAAGGAGAACCCCGGGCGCCCCCGCGATCCCGCGCGCGGGGCGGGACCGGGCCGAGGGCGGGGCGGGGGGTGGAGGGCGCCGCCTACCGGGGCCGTGGAACTGCTGCAGCCAGTGCCCCGCGCGCGTGCGCGGCCGTGGGCCGGGGTGTCCCAGCGCGGCCCCGTCACGGCCGTGGCCCCGTCACGGCGGCACCCCCTGGCACCCCCGGGGAGCTACCGCTCCCGTCCGCTCCGTGTCAGCGTGGGCCGGGACTGACATCTTCAGCCGAGGCCCCTCGGGTGGGTTGTGTCCCTCTGTCCTGCCCTTCTCAGTGCGCTCATATCCCTAATAAAATGCATTGCATGCGGAACAGGAAACGTTCTAGACATCTCTTAACTGAAGGAAAATTTTGGAAAAAAAAATAGAATCTTAAATAAAAAACACCTGGGAGTTCGAAGGCCATTCGGCAGATTACCAGACTTGTCTTACACTGACTTTTCTGAGGAATTCACTGAGGAATGGCTCAAAATACCAATTTCTCCTTGTGCTAGGCAGCTCACAGGGAGCAGGGTATCAAACTCCTCATGTCCATGATCATATCAGCCGCAGTTGGACACCAAATTTCTTCCTACCGGGCAGTCGGCTTACTTCTCAAATAACCAATATTGGTAATTGTTTGCCCCTTAACTTTGCATAATAGTGAAATCTTTTGAAGTAACAACCACAGTTAAGAAGTTTTAGTATAAAAAAAAACCACTGTGGAGTTGAAATGGGGAGGGGCAACTCAGGATAACATTTTTCTAATAGAAAATATTAATCTTAAACATACAGGAAATGTTAATATGAGCTGTCAGAAATGTTTCTGTAGTATCATAATCTGTTTAATCTTCATGTGACTTTAAGTATTCTTAGTTCTTAAATGTTCATTTAGATACCTTTTTATATTTTCCTACGCTTCTAAGATAAATGATCAGTCTCCTTAATCTCTTTTCTTCTGAGTTTTCTCCATCTTATTTGCTTGTTCTTTTTAGTCTCTCATAATTTTGCCATTTCAGTTTTGAGCTAAGGTGACCAGAAATATACAATATAACCTGAATGAGACTATTTCTCAGCTTTATATAACTGTACTTAAATATTTTCTGTACTGTTGTCATTATTTTATGTCTTATTTATCCTATTGGCTTGACTTCTGTGACCAACTCATATGACAAATCATAATCATAAGAAACTGCATGAAATCCTATAAACCCCTTTAAATTTTCTCGCATTTATCCACTTTTATTTTACTTTATTTTTCTGGTATCATGGTTTCCATTCATTTACCTTCTAGACTTCGTGAGTTCTTGCTGTCTGACTGACCTAGCTGTCTGTCCTCTAATAATAATAATAATGGCCCATCTTCGCGAACGAAGATTTGGGGAAAGGTCTTTTTACCTTTCCAGCCTGCGCAATGGATTTTTTAGGTGAGACACAGCCTGCGCTGAACTGAGCCCACCCTTTAATCCTAAGGTTCATCTGCCGGGGCCAAGCAAGCTTGGACAATGGCAGTGAGGTCCTCAGGACGTAGGTTTGTTTAGAGTGTCCTTCTCATAGATAGATGGCCACACAGGGCTAACGACCTCCATCAGGCCAGGAGACCGGGGACTCGAACCCGTGGTCGCAGCAGTGAAAGTCCTGCACGCTAACCACTAGGCCACCAGGGGTCTGTCCTCTAATATTTGTTGGTTTTCTACTCGTTCCTTTTTTCAGTTCACAAATAAATGATTCGACAGAGTTCAAAAGTTAGAGACTATCAGAGCAGAAAGAGGCATTTCAGACACTCATATGGACCACAGGCTTAACTTGCATCTAACTTTTGAAATAGTACCACAGTTGATGCCTGTGAAACCGTATCTAAACAGAATATCAAGGCAATCTTTCATTAAACATTTACTCTTAACAGAAATTTAAGTCAGCATTATGTCCATATTTTATTCCTGACCTAGGATTTTTTTTTTCCTTAGTAGTCTTTTGTGTCAAAAGTCTCTTTAAACTTTATCATCAGGTGCTATGCATTTCTTTTGACAAGGTAGTTTGAGTGGCAAAAACAGCACTGGCATGCAAGTTTACAGTGGTGACTGAGGTTTCTGCTGAACTCTGTTATGCCACTTGGCTTAATCCGTGAAAGTTTAAATTATGCCTGCCAGCTCTTGCATATTCATCACCTCTTAGGTATTTCTGTAAGAGTGATTAAGACATCATTACCTTTGCAGAAGTCTAGTGATAGACAGACACTTTCAGATCATGCTTTTCTAGGTGTTACATTTTTTGATTACTTTTTCCCCTACAGATGTTAGATTTAGTCTTATAATTTCTCATGTTACCCTGGAAGATTAAAAAATGCAAAAAAGAAACCCCACCAAAAATCCTAACAGATACTTTCTGCTTTAAACCTCCTGGCATGCTTTAAAACAGAGATTGGATGCTTCAGTGTTTCAGTTAAGCTGTTCTTAAACTCTTTCTAAACTTGTAAATCACCCAAAATGAAGTAGAATTTTAGAAAGTGGAGTAGTAGGCTATTAAGCCAATTTATTTTCCTTGTAAAATGCTGGTAGTTCTTCCTTCAATTATATTTTTAGATTTTTTGGTTGGTTAGGTGGGGTTTTTTTTTGGTTTTTAGTTCAGTGATTACGTATCTCTTGAGACTCAATATGTTTTGAATTAATTAATTTTAATGAAATGTTACCATGTAAATTTAGAATGTCAGAGTCTCTGACACCTATCAGATATGCAGTTTTAATGGTATTGTGGCAACTACTGCCTAGCGGTGTGGCACTATTGCTTCAGTGGCTGCCAGATAGTGTGCAGCACTTACAAAGATGGTACTCTAGAACTTACTGCACCAACAGAGCATCAACATTATTTTTTTTGTTTTTTTCTAAATGTTGAACATTTAGAAAAATAGCTGTTTGGCCATTTGGCAATGATGACTAAGCTGTAAGATTTGAATTCTGATGCCTCTGAACTCCCATAGCAGCGTGTATTCAGTTTGCCCTGAATTCAAAAATTGATAGTATAGACCCAGTGACAGTTTTTTTGTCTTTCATGGCAAGTTTTGTAACTGCACAGATTCATCAAGTGTTGTCTCTTCCCCTCAAAACCAGCAGCTTTATTAAATCTGTATGTTCTTACAGGTACCATGCTACTTCCCCACATCCTTACCCTCTCATTCCTTATGGGCAGATATGACTCTGCAGGTTTCTCTGCCTTATTACCCAGGCTGTGCAAATGGGTAGGTATCAGTCAGTCATTACCTTTCTGGTTGGCCAGTCTATGTGCTCAACATAGATAAATTGAATGTCTTGTTACCTCAACATAATCCCCTGTCACTGAATGGTGTAAGATTCACAGACTGCTCAGGCCTTTTCTGAACCCCCTTGACAGTGCTGAATTTGAAATGAGGAATCTTGATCTTTCTTATAAACTTTGCCTCATGGCAGTCAGCCAGTGTTGGTGTGTGCAGTGGAGCCAGCACAGAGCCTCTGTGCTGCTGCCCAGGAGTGATCTGTGAATGCACAATCTCACCCCAAATCAGGCCCCGTGTTACCCACTCCATTTGAAATCCCAATTATCAGGCAGCTGTGCCACCCCTTTTTTCGCATTCCTTAAATAAACAACTCTCCTCCCCCAAAAACACATACCAAAAACTGGCCACTATGCTAAGGGTAGAGGGCACAGAAAATCCTGGGTTTAGATCACAAGAAAAAAAACCAACAAAACAAAGAAAACAAAATGAAACAACAACAACAAAAAAACACAACCAAAAAAACCCAACAACAACAAAAGGAAGAAGATAGTTATTTAGTGTCCTTTAAGTAGTGTTGAGTAAATCACTTGCAATAATAAAACCCCAACTCAGTGAAGCAGATAGCCTGAACCCTGACCCTCACAGCTGGAACTGGAGGTGCCAAGGCAGTGGCAGTGGCCAGGAAGGTGCCCCTGTGTTATCCATAATAGGTTCTTTCTCCCAGTGTGCAAGAGGCCGAATCCTCACAGAGTCAAGGTATTTGATTGATTTACAGTTCTGTGCAGAAAGGGGTGCTGGGTGATAAATCCACAAAGCCAGCATAACAACTACAAAAACTTTTCACTGCTTATACATTTTAGCAAACAAAGACATTAACATTCATTGTCCTCTTTTTAAACAGTATTCTGTCTTCTACTGGTTAATGATTCTGTCACTTCTCAATCTAATTAGTCCGCAGGCTCAGTCTTTCTCTTTTCGGTCCGTGGGCATCTTCCCCTGCCAGAATTAACTTTTACCCAGTTGCAGTTGATTTCAGCACAGTTTCTGAGTTGTCTTTATTAGTTTTTTTTCTTGTCTTCGGGTTCTGCCAAATGTGCTTGTGGCCTGTAAATCCTGCATTCTTTGTGTCCACTATCAGTGGTACATCCTTTTTCCCAAGCTTTGTTAACCTCCCGTCTGAGATAGCTGAAACATAGATAGCCTTAAACCCTTATCAAGGCAATTCTACCGACAAGTAATTTGCCATTCTAACACCTGGACGTCGCTTACAGCTTACTTATTAGCTGCTGTTTCACGGACTAAATCTCCTTTCTTGTGGATTACGCTTGAAAGTGTACAAACACCAAAGGACATCCTTTCTTAAGAAAATTTTTACATATTCCACATTTTGCAACACCTGGGGTGGCGGCGGTTCTCGCCGGCTCAGACGGGCGTGGCCGCGACGCCCGCCCGGTGCCGCCCGCAGCACCGCCCCCGCGGGGCAAGATGGCGGCGATGGCGGCGGCGATGGCGGCGGCGCAGCTGTGGCGGCGCGCGGTGCGCGGCGTCTGTTTCTGTGGCACCGGGAGGGTAAGGCGGTCCCTGCGCTGCTGGGGCTCAGCGGGGGCGGCGGCACCTCGGGGGTGCTTCGCCACCTCCTCCCCCCCTGCCCCGGTTTGCCGGGGCGCCCTTGTCCCCTCTCTAGGCACGGCGGGCCCCTGCGGACGGTGCTGCCCGCCGGGCTCCGACCGCAGCCGCGGGGAGAGCGCTCTTGCTGTCGTCGGAGCTGTGTCGAGGGGCGGCTCAG